CCAGTCATCTTGGAGCGGAGCCGATGTGGAGCTGCAGCGTCGCATCCTCGATGCGTACGACAAGCACTGCAGTCACCCGCTGCTGCCCATGCGCATCCCGGAGTTGCTGGGTCGGGTTGGTCTGGAGTTTGCGGATGGGCCACATGTGATCCCAATCACGAATATCGCTTGGGATGAAGTTGGTTTTGCAAAGGGCGCTTCCGCCACTTGGCAGTTCCCAGCCGCCCCCTCAGGTTTAGTGTTTTTTTTTTTGGCGTTTCGTGGGGTTCCCATTCAACCCACTAAAGTTCAACTTTCAGCAAACAAATGAAATTGGACGGCCCAGGCCAATATCGTCAAGTATGTGACCGAACAAAGCCTCATTGAGAAGAATGACACGGAGCGCTGGCTTTCAGAACTAGAAGACGCTGGACGCAACGGGACCTTCTTCTTCAATCTCAACCGATACGTCTTTGCCGGCATAAAAAAAGGCAAAGGCTTGGCCGGAGGTGCGAGCAAAAGGCAGCGGATGGAATGAGTGTCACCTCCATTTGCCGAAGAATACTCGTGTTATTCTCCCTGGTTTGTTTTAAAGGGAATCTATCACTACTGGACATTTGTTTTTCCCAGGGGGCTTAAGCAAATGGAAGTTCACAATGCCCCTGTCCAATATGAGCGCAGTTTAAAGCCTGCGCCGTCTCCATTGGTGCCCTCCGGCCGGTCTAGTGGTCTAGTGGCTTTCCCGCTGGCAGTGGCTTTCACGTGAGCCTTGCCACCAGAGCCTCCAGGGCTGAAGCCGGAAATCTGCGGAGAATCAAGAACGGCTTTCTGCTGGCTTATTGAATTATCATCACCATCACCATATCACCAGTCAAGGACATTCGCCTGATTTTTTGCCAGGGTTCCCGATGATGTCCCCGAAAGCGGCGGATTCAAACATCACCCAAAAGGTCCCCTGAAAAATGGTGCGTTTGGAGGTGATGAAAGCAAGGGCTACCCGCGCCAGCCATACCTCTCAGGCAAGTTTCGCATTTGCTGGGGTTGCCTTAAAAAGGAGCACCAAGAGGAGATTGTTGAAACAAATGGTGGCAGCATCTTGAAAACAGGGGTCGGACCAATCATAGGCTTCCCAGATCAAGCTGGTTAAATCAGAACGTGTTCCACGGGTTTCAGGTTGATTCCAATGAGTTAGTCATGCAATCCGTCGATTCATGCGATGTTTACCTTCATTTGGGCCCACAAGATGAACCTGGGGGAAAATTGGCTTCGGACACCGACAGGCTTGTTCGAGCCACGGCTTGCCTTTTGTCAATGGCTTAACTTGTGTTTCTCCGAAATTATCTCTCCTTTGCTCTCTCAAATTTGGCTGCGGGTCAAAACCAATGGTATCATTTTGGGGTAGGTGCACCACCCATTTTAGTCTATTAAGAGGGGATGGGGATGTTCCCTCAAAGTACGGGATTTTGACCCATGGCCATTTGGTGAACACAAATTCCCCAACCCCCGGCAACAGTTTTCGATGCCCACGGGGCGCATGGCCACGTGCGCGATTTGCAGGGCTTCGGCTTCCGCCCGGGTCCTCGTTCTCGAGGCTTCCGTGCGGCTCTGCGGTGCAAGGTCTTCATAGCAGCAGAGGCGTGGGGCGATCGCCCTGGGTGTCTCAAAAATTCCCAAAGGCGCGGCTTCACAAAAACAAACAAAGGGGACATGAAAGGGACACTATGTGTTCTTTGAAAGTCGTGCACACTTGAACTGTCCCTAGTTGAGGGGTTCCCATGTTTGAGTTGTCGAAGCCAGCCGAGGCAGCTGGCTTGCTGTTGAGGTACTAGGCCACGCTTTCCTCCACAGAAGTACCTGAACCCTGGGCTGCTGCCCGTGTTGGAGGCAGTTCGTTCACCAAGAAGCTTCATATCCTTTGGTATCGCCATCACCCAGGCCCCGTTTGGGTATGGCACGTCTTTGGCCCGTTGTAAAGCAGCCAAACTGGCTACTCGCGAAAACAAGACATAGCCCGCACGGGTAGCCAAACTGGCTACTCGCGAAAACAAGACATAGCCCGCACGGGTTAGCCACACATCGGAATGAATTCCCTTCTCGGAAGGATCGACCAATGCAGTTTTAGGGTTTCCCGTCATTGCTGGGCAAAGTTTCTGACCCAGGCAAGATTCGCAAAGGTCTGGTGGATCAACGTTATGGCTGATTTCACGAGTCGTTTGCCTAAAAAGAAGCCCAAACAAGCGACCTGGGATCCTTTTGAGAGACGCGGGCAGATTCGGATTCGCGAAAGTAGCCGCCTTTCTTCCCCTGGCACTTTGATTCCTGTCGCCGGAAACGCGCGTTCATGCCACTGAAGTAGCCGCGGTCCAACTCGTTGAGAACGGCCATGCGGAGAGTCTCCGGAGCCATGGCCTGACGTCCCCGGCCCGCCTTTGCCACGTCATCCATCACCCACACGTGGTAAGCTGGAGGTCCAGCAGGGCCAGCCGCGCACGCCATGGGGCGAGAAAGAGGCGTTCTTGAAGGCAAAGCGCAAGGGGACGCCCTCGGCGGAGTTCTTCCTTGTCTTCTTTCATCATGTCCTGCCTCTTGGATTCGTTGGCAGGCATGAGAATAAAAGAAGTGGACAAGGAATAAGAGATGAAAGGGAGAGATTAGGAAAACATATTATTTGCATATCTCTTTCTCATGCTTTCCCGCTCCCGCTCGTTCCTTCACTCACTCACACATCATCGCTTCCAGCCCTTTCGTTTAGACGGGCTGGAGTGATAAAGGGATGACGCTATCTTCTCCCATCTCCATTCATGGGTAGGAGATGGTAACGAGAAGATAGAGAGGATGAAAAGTGAATGGAGAGGACAGGCATGAAAGAAGTGGTCTGTCTTCACTCTCCACATGGCCAAGCGAAGCCTGGAGGCAGCGATCCAGAGTCACACGAAAGTAAGTCCTCTTTTGAAACGCTTCCAGGCGCGCAGAGTTTTGCAGAAAGGGTCCTACGCAGACTCTAACACATATGTCCCGGCCCTTGTCACAGGACAATCACGTCGCGCTGCGTATTCTCCGTTGGCGCACCCATTTGACGGAAACCATTCAGTCTGTGCTAATGTAGAATGTCCTTACCCTACCGCAGGTTTGCGACCTCATCAGTGAAGGTTCCTGGCGTGGTTTTCCCTTCACCACTTTTCTTCTAGGTTGGCGACAAGCTTCCATTTGCTTAGGACTGTTTGTTTTAATTACTTTTCTCCTGTTGGCTTTAAAGGGAAGCTATCACTACTGGAAATATGTTCATTTTTTCCAGGACACGTATTCGCAGATGGAGGTATTTGTCCAGAAGTAAGCCAAGTGAAGCCAAGTCCAGACAGAGGGAATTGCCCCCGGCGCTTGGAGGCCTCCGGCCAGAGCGAAGCGGTGGGTGAGGCAGAGCGAAGCGCAGATTGCCATACGCTGCGAGGTTCGTTGCCAGGTTGGTCAATGGTTGGCCATCTGAGTTCTAGCTTACTAGTAACAGTGCAACAGGGTCAAGTGCACTTGGGATTGTGGGTTGCAGAGGCTAAGAACAACTTACTGCCTTGGCCGACCACACGATCACCCAAGTACCCTCTCACCAAGCACACATGGAAGTTCAGCCTTCTCCAGAGGGCACATCATCTTTCAAAATCTATGCACTTCCTTGTTTGTTCGGACACTTGGTGCTAAGCAAAGCTGTGATTTGTTCTTTCAGCCAACAAGTGGATCACGTTTCATTTATCCGCCTGTATGTACGCCCAAACCAAGCGAGGGTTCGGCGTGAGGGATCAATGCGTCTGGATATCTAGGAGCTAGCTTTCACTTCAGAGTATGGCAAGCAGTTACCCAAACGGTCGAACATCGTGTGGCTCTTTTCTTTGAGGCTACCCCTTTTGGTGGTTTTCGAGGGACGCCAACAGGAACACCACCATTTTTGTGGGTCCAACCATAAAAAAAACGACGAGCCACCCAAATTGGTGATCAAGTCCTCTCGTTTCCGGAGCCCAACTTCCGACCCAAGGTCGAAAGAGCAACCCTTGTTCTGAGACCATCTGATCCGTAAAACACATCGTACTTGAAGATACCACTTGTTTTCCTTTTGTTTACTGTACCCCTGTTTGGTTGGTTTCCTTAAAGGAAGACAAAGGAGAACCGAAGCCATTTTGCGGGTCCTCTCAAAATAACACCCACCACCTTAGTTTATCCCTTCAGCATACTTTGATTTAAAGAGACGCATCTATGCAACATCATACAGTTGCCCAGGCCAATGTCAATGCAGCATTATTGTTTTGAATGAGATAACTCCTAGCCGCACAGCATCATATATTAGATGATAGCAATTTATCCCTTCGCCATTGCATTTTTGAACAAGTCCATTTCATGCATGCAGCTGTTCATGAGATTTACAGTGCTGGGGCCCTGCTCAATGCCTGCGGCGGCAACTTGGACGATCTACGTTAAAACTAAATGGTTGCTCTCTCAAGCTCCTGGCAAGGAACCTCTAGTCGGTAGTCGAACACCCCCTTAAATAGACGCTCGTGACACCAGCGGTTGTTTTGTTTTGGTTGCGGTTTCGAGCCTACCTTCCAAGACACTTGAGTGTTCGTGCCCAGGTCCGTTTTTCCAGAAGAGATGCGTCGGGGCTTTTTGGTGGTTTTGAGGCAGGTTTTGCGGGAGCGGTAAGTCACCCACCACAGGCTGTCGACGCCGTCTTGATCCTTGGCTCCCCGGAGCGGCCGGAGGCGGGTTTCTGTGGCCAGACGTTGGTTTTGTTTGGAGGAGAGATTGGTGTTTCTTCGTTTTTGGTTTGGCATTTCTTTGTTCTTTCTTGCTATGTGTTGCGAGTTTTAGTTTCTCCGCTTATGTGTTTTGTGTTTTGCCCGCCTTTGTTTGTGTTCTGTGTTCTTTTCATTCTTTGCTTTCTTCTTTCTATTTATTTTGGTTTGATAGTGTTTGCAGTTGGCCTGTGATTTTTGGTGGATGTTGTTTGTTTTTGGCCCGTGTTGTAAATCGACCCCAGGAAATACAGCTGCGATTTGCCTGGAGGCCTTCGCCAAAGGCAGCCCCCTGCAAGCGGTGACAGAGGCGCGGTTTGGAAGAAACCATATATATATGGCATTTTTTCCGGGGTCATTCCATTTCTCATTCCCTTCCGAGAACCAACAAGTTCTCTTTTAACGTCGGTTGGGAATATCAAAAGGAATAGGTATGGGGAGTTCTGAGTGACAAAAGAATGCCAGAGATAGGCCTGCATTGGTGATGCTTACTTGGGGTTAATGAACCCTTTGGCTCGATTCAGTGAACGTGACGAGGCGCCTGGAGACAATGGTCAATGGTTCTTGTCCTGTTGCATATCTCACAAGTGGATCAGCGCATCAGAAGTCCAAGACAATTGATTGACCGTGTTTGAAGAAAGATTTGGGTGGACCACACCCTCCTCCATTTTGAATATGTTAACCCCTCAGTTAAGGATAACACGGTGGCATAGGCTGAAGCCGCAACAGTTCAAGGAAGACGCACAATACGCAATGTCGGTCGCATGGAGGGATGACGGTTCTTCTGCGGTGCAGAGCACTGGGCCGGAGTTTAAGATTGGTACCAAGGAGTCGAAAGGATCCCCGGCCAACGCGTTGTACCCGATGGCCCTCGAGTCTGGGTCCTACTTCGAGGTAAGCTGCCAGGAGATTGGAGAACACGGCAGTCCCTTCATCGGCATCGGCACGGAAGAGAAGTTTGGAGCCGGCTACAAGTGCAAGGGCCTCTTCTACGGTGGCCCGGGAAACTTGGCCGACGGCGGCGCGTGCTGCAAGAGCCAATGGGGCGACGACGTGAAGAAGGGCGATGTCGTGGGGATCTTGGTGCAGGTGAAGGACAGCAAGCTGACTATGACGGTGTACCACAACGGCCGCTGCATGGGCCCGGCCTACGAGGTGCCTTACTCCGGGGCCAAGATCTACCCGGTGGTCCAGGCGCAGAAAGATGGCGACATCTTCCGCATCGCCACGGGGCTGCCGGCGCCGACGGCTCTGACGCGGGAGAAGCCCAAGGGAGGACATCCGGCCGCCGGGACGTGGACGCTGAAGCAGCTCTTTCTGGGCCCTGAGCTCGGGGAGTTCCCCTTGGCAGCCAAGCTGGAGGGGGCTCCTCTACCAACTATCACCGTCCTGGAGGACAAAGGTCAGCTGCGCCTGAGCGTCAAAGTGGCCAACAACTTGGGCTTCTCAGCCACGTCCACTCCGGATGCATCCTTGGCGCCCTTTGATGCCCTGACCGTTGGCGCAGGAATGTCCACCATGATGATGGGGCCTCCGGGCGTGATGGAGGCAGAGGCAAAGATCTCCGAAGGCATGCCCACGGTCCGCAAGTGGCTTGCGAAGGATGACACGCTGATCATCAACGCACCCACCATGGAGATGATATGCACCTTGTGTGCGGATGCGGAGATCGTAACCGATCGGGAAATTTGAACACATCGCGGCATTAGTTTGATTGATAGATTTCAGACCAAGAGCACTTCACTAGCTGGCTGTTTTGACCTTGGCCTCTGCACAGACGTTGAGCCCATCAACCGGGCCAGCGTGGCCGGGTGATTGTTTTCTTTTGGCTGCTGGCAAAAAAGGCAGATCGCACAGCAGGACAAAGAACTAGACACGACTGAAACCCCTCCCCCACCAGATTGAAATCCATTTAGAATCCGCTGGCAAGGGGACCCTCTTAAAATTTCTCATTTCAGGTGCAAATGCTTCAAAGATCTTCAAAGCTTACTTGGACGGGTCCTTGGATTTGCCAATAGACAGCAGCACCCCAGCAGTTCTGACGCGACTCGTGCTTCCTGACATTAAGTGCCGCAATGAGGGAGTCCAGAATTGGGGTGCCTTTATCCGTGCTGATGTTTTTGCCAGTTTTCCGGTGCTATGTCAGTTTCGGTGCCTTGTCCTTTTGGACTGCCTTCTTGAGCTAATGTATGTGTCCCCCCCCAAACGTGGCGGTTGGCTCCTCTCGGAATGTATTCCAAACGGCAAAGGACTACTCAGGTCGGGGAAGTTGCAAAGGTTCTTGCACTTGTGGTGCTCTTCTGGGATGGGGGGACGATCCAGTCTTTGAAGCTTCCGTTCATGAAGCGTTGAGGCTTGGCTCCTGTTCAGCTCCTTCAAATTCATCCAGCTGAACCTGGTTGACTGGGACAGACGCTTTGAGATTCGGGTTTGCCTCAAAGCGAACCCGCAAACTGTATTTTTGCTTCGCGAAAAGACGCCCGAAACCAGGGCCTACCAACCCACCCATCCCCAGAGGCAGCCTTCAAGGCTTTGGCCGACGGGGCTGGGGCCCCAGGTGGGGGCGGCTTAAAGGAAGACTACGGGACAACGACCCCATGTTAGGGGTACCCCTGTTTTGTGACAAACCCACATGTTTGAAGGGCCAGGGTCGGGATAACCGAAGCCCAAGTCGGGGTGAGCCTTAAAACGACTTGTGGCAAAATGCAAGTATTTCCCTACTAGGCAAGTATGTTCTTTGGCGTGCTCAAAGACCAACCCAGAACCTTGGCCTTCCTGGTTTCAAGGCGTTTGACGCGTTTTTGGCTTTGCCTTCAGAAGCCGTCCTTTGTTGCCTTTTGGGGCATGAATTCTGATTCACCTTCTGCCAGAGGCTGAATTTGTGGCCGAGTGTTCACTTTGTGCAGGGATCCAAAACTGAAAACGTTTGACAACTGTGCTGGTGCAATTTGGGAGTATTGAACAAAAAAAGTGAAAGGGCAACGACTGGGAGCACACGCACACACACACACCCCACCCCACACGCCACACCACACCACATCACTCCACTCCGCTCCACTCCACTCCACTCCACTCCACACCGCACAACTCAGCGCACTACCCAATACACACGACACAAGACACAAGACACAAGACAAGACGCAAGACCGCGAGATACAAAATACCGTACACAAAGCAACACACCACACCACACCACACCACACCACACCACACCACAGCACAGCACAGCACAGCACAGCACAGCACAGCACAGCACAGCACAGCACAGCACAGCACAGCACAGCACAGCACAGCACAGCACAGCACAGCACAGCACAGCACAGCACAGGACAGCACAGCACAGCACAGCACAGCACAGCAACACAACAACACAAGCACAACACAACCTTACAGACACACACATTCACACACACACACACACACGCATACACACACACACACACAGCAAGCAATCTGGAGACACACGCTGTAGATCTCACATGGAGGACAAGGAGTGGCAACCTTAGTGAGCTTTCCGCTTGCACTGGCTTTTCCCTAGGCTTTGATGGTTGTTGTGGCTGATGGCTGCGAGGAACAGGCGGGAGGCATTGGGGAGGGGACGGCCTTAGGATTTTCATAACTTTCCTTTAGCTTTGCTTCGAGAGTACAAGGTGTTTTCTTCGTTCCAGGCTGTAGGGCTGCCAGAGTGACACGGCGAGCTTTCACCTTGAGGAAATAGCGGTTTGGACTGGAAGGCGCCTGGCTGCTTCCTTAGGACATGCTCGTTGACGAGTCACTAAGAGAGCAAGCAAAAGATCTGTGGAGAGGCAGACACTGGGTCGTAAGCAAGCATCCGAACTATTTTTTGCAGCAAGTCTCAGAATAGGGTCGGTGTTCGGATTTCTGCAAATGAAAACATGGCCTATTCGGGGCCATCGGGTTTGGTGTTTCTTCAACCTGGAGCGTACACAACTCGAAGTCCAGAAGGACAGATTGGATTTGGGGAAGTCGCCAGGAGGGTCAGAGTCATCAAATTTGCTCAGAGCCTGTAAAGGATGATCGGAATCAGAAAGAACGAAGCATGATTTGGCTTCTGCATTTTCTCCTTATTGCGGGGCCCCACTTGCTACCCTGGTGCCAGACAAAGCGAACCAATCTTTGAATTCCCTGTGGGCCTCAAAGTGTCAAAGAGGGTCTCCCCTTGACATGCCAAGCTAGATGTCAAAGGCAACAAGAACCCGCTTTTTCATTTGATGCACTCACAAGGGTCCCTGTCTTGTGCATGTCCGGGACTTTCAAGCGCCCCCTTTCGGTTGCCCGTTGCGAGAAGGAATGTCCTGTGCCCAGGATTATGTTGGGAACAGAGGGAGCCCTGCAACTTCCTGTGGGGTGTGTGGCGCATTTACATCAGGGGATCAACCGCAGTGACTTTCTCCTTGCCACTTGCCTGACCATTACATACTCATACATACTGACTATTTCGTGGCATATCGTTAGCCATACCTTAACTCTTGGCTTTGCAATGCCAATTTGCAAAGTTGAATCCAGACCTGGTCGCATCGCGCTTTGGGTTGCCTATGCTCTTGTTTTCGGAGTTCGTTTTGATGAATCCTTTAGGCCGAAAGTCAGCTTGTCAGGGCTGGCTGGCCTTCAGGCATGAGGAAATGGAAGGGGGACGGCCATTGCACCACAAGCCAACGAGCAACTAAGCGAATGCGGGGCTCTGAAGCCCGTTTTTTGTTTTAGCTCGCAAGCCAACCTCACACCACCCATTAGGAGCGGGCCAACTGGTTTTGACATTTGCCTCAAGCAGCCGCTCAAAATTCAGACTTTCCTAAAGTACAAGTTTCTTTTCAATGATCGATCCTGTATAGGAGCTTTGCGTGATTCTTTTCACAGGGGTGCTTACACTCCTCAGCATGACCCTTTGGGCCATCACATGAGTTTCCTATTGGAAATCTTTGGGTGGACTTTGGGGGGGGGGGGGGGGTTGCCCATTTTCCTGTGTTGAAATCATGTTCTTCGGGTGAGCACCCAGCAAACTTCTGGAGAAGCAATCATGAGGTACACGCGCAATAGACTACATCAACGGAAAAAAAGAGGTATCAGACTTGTCAACCAAAGGATTGTCCTACACACTCCTGGACCATACCCCTCAGGGACCATGCGGAAGGCCCAACCATGAGGTAGAGGTAGGTCAGCCACTTGAGTGTTGTTCGAGGGGTTGACCCAAATATGATTTGTTGGCTACTATTGCTACTACTATTTCTAAAACTACTACTACTACTACTACGACTACTGCTACTACTACTACTACTGCTAGTACTACTAGTAATAGTACTAGTACTAGTACTAGTACTAGTACTAGTACTACTACTACTACTACTACTACTACTACTACTACTACTACTACTACTACTACTACTACTACTAAAAGCTGCTACTACTAAAAGCTGCTATTATGTTGTTCTGCCTATTTTCTTTTTTTGAATACTACAACTGCCGCTAGGACTATGACTGCTATTTCTGAAGTCAACAGGTTTCAGGATTTGCTGATACGTACGTTTCTGAGTTGATGCGCCTGGCGTTGTCGGACTCCGCTGATTCCTTGAACCTCTGTTTGAAGGTCTCGTTATGCGCTTTGAGCTCCTGCAGGTCGGTTTCAAGGCACAGGAGTCACTCACCGACAGTTGACTTCTTTCCTTTTGTCTTTATGCCCGTCGTGTTGAGAACCCCGGTTGAGATCAGATTCATTCAACCCTTTCCAGGGAAGATTCTAAAAACAAACTCAAGGGATGGTCCAAACCGGGGCCCGGCTTTTCAACGTCCAGGATCCGTCGCTCCGCGTAGGTCCCAGAGATCCTGGCGCAGCTGTCCAGCGCTCCTCCCGCTCCGCCACTTGCAACCCGCTGGGACGAGGCAACTCAAGGGAGCTGCTTGCTTGTTTAAGTTCCAGAATCAAAATCTGAGTTTTGGTTGGGGGGCAGAAACTGAGGCAGCATTGATTGCTTTGGCCGTGGACAGTTTCTGTAGAGCTTCTTGAGCCGGCAGCTTTGTGTGTTTTGACAGTGTCAGGCGGCCAATCTATCTAGCGTTCATGATTGATTGCTGTCATGTTTGTTTTTCAGAGGTCTTTTTTTTGGAGTTGTATCGAGGCGAAGCCAAAGGGAAACCAGCTGAAGGGTACCTAGGTGAAAACTCCAGCGGCATGGCGCCAAGTCGGTACTGAAGGGGTTCTCTGGTCGCACCTCTGGCAACTATATCGCACGCCTGCATCATGCTTCCTTTGTTGAGCCAATCGGCCATGTCTAGCCGACTGACGAAGGGACAACGAATGAGAAGGACTTCTTTTTTTCCTGACGCGCATGTAGGGGCATCAAGACTTCCTTGTTTCCTTCAAGGTTTCTCCCTTGAAGGGAGGAAGTAGACAGCCAGCCGTCTTTAGTTTTGTGAAGGGTGATCAACCAAAATCTCATTCGGATTCGCCCTTACCTGAGTTGCGAAGGGGTTCATTCCCCCACCACAGTCCTTTTTGGTTGTTTTGGTGGACAAAGAGACGGCCCTGGTGTACCTGGTGGTTTGATCATTTGCCAGCCATCTATTTGCTGCCCTTTTAGAGGACACCTATGTTTTCCCTTCCCTTCTTTGAAGGGTCGGCTTTCACTGTTTCTCCATCGGCAAAGCCGAGCGGGGATCGAACGTCTCGGCCCTGGTCGGGCCAGGCCGCCCTCTGGGCCTCGGGCGGCCGAACCGCCGGGCCGCCGTTCCCGGAGCTCGCGGGGCGCCGGGCCGGGGGTCCTGGCGCTTGGGGGGTTGGTGGGTTGAGTAAAGGGTTACGTGGCGGCCAAGGGGAGGGTGTGCATCGGATTTATCGCAGGGACGCAGTTTTTAAACCTTTCCTCTGGTTGGTAGGAACAAAAGTGTACAATGGGGTGTGCAAGATTCCCAGTGCTCTGGTCGACCCCATTCAAATGACAGGAAACCCACAAGGGGGGCAACAAAGCTTCCAGATCGCCAATGTGATCTCGACTGTCAACCACCAACCTCCAAGTCTCCCATATGAGAGTCTCGTAGTTTGGACTCATGTGGCCCAGGAAGCAGAGTGATGCGTCATGGATTGTTTCAGTTTCTTCCGCAGAATTCTACTTGCACTTGATTACGCTACTTGTCTTCTGCTGGCCCACAATGGGTTGATGATCAAAGAGCAAGAAGCGCAAGAAACATCAACAAGAAAAACAACGGGCCTGCCACAATCAGGTAAATAATGAGCCTAAACAGAGTTGGGAAGCTTCCATCTTCATGAAAGGGCTTTACAAACGGCTCGTGCTGAACTCGGGATCTGCCCGCTTGCAAGAGTCTCGGCAATTAAAACCTTTTCTGGCTCGGCTGCTGCTGGAAGCTGACAGGATCACTTGTTTACCCGGCCCCATTCCAACAGCAAGTCACATCCAAGTACTATACCGGATGAACTAGCGGACTGGGAATAGCTTGTGGGCACCGCACAACTTTGCACATACTTGTGTTGATACCGATCATCGGCCGGCAAGCAAGCATGGCTATTGTGGACATGTGATGACAGTGGTGACGGACTAGTCTCGCCAACTTTGCGGCTGACCAGAGAGAATCAGCTCCCAGGTGGATGCTTGATATAGAAGAGTCCCCAGAGATTTGCATGTCCAGCCCCTACATCTGCAACTCGCTGTAATGGCTTTGCTCAAACGTCTGAGCTGTGCTACTATGCTGGCCACCGCTGAGGACGAGTCTGGAAACACGTTGCTGCACATCGCAGCCTCTGCTGGGTGTTGCAGGCAGGGCAAAGCAGCGCCCGTATGGTGCTCCGTGGGGCAACTGTGTGAAGGGCATGTACCCTTGGATGCTGCGCCAGTTCTTCCAAAATAATGGCATTTGAATGTGTGTATGCAGGCCCACTCCCAGTATGCCATCTTATCCAAATTATGGCAATATGTATATAGATATGATAAGTGGTACAATGTATATATATTATATATATATATATATATACATATATATATATATATGTACACAAGGGAGGGATTCATTCCCTAGGCTGCATGCTGTGGCAAAGCCTCACTCGCAAGGGCATTTCGTCTCCTGACTGGAATTCGTAGGTGTTGGGCAAGTGGGGTTTCATATGACCCACAATCAACAGCCAGGTAGAGGAAGGTTAAGGATAGTCCCAACCGTAAATGGGTGCCGCCTTGTTAGTTCTTCACATGGTTGGTAGACCATTTTACTACCAGTTTTTGCTTATGACTCACATCATAGATATTGGGATATGCCACCAATGCACTGGTGCAGGATTTTGTCCATCCACAGTATGAGCCATGACCCATATTCATTTCGCCCCCAAATGATGGGATTTCAGTGAGTAGCCTATACAGCAAGTCATGGCAAATGGTGACCGTTGCTCTTATGATCAACTTGAACACAGATGCTGGGCGGTGTCCCTTCACAGCCATGGCGATTTAAGACATGCCCATGTTCATCTGGGAGTGTTTTTTGAGGGTGCCTGTTTTTGGAGCTGTGCAAGCAACAAGGTCATTGGCCACCTCTCAAACAAGTGGCAGGACTACCCTTAACAACCTTTTTAAGCCCAAAAGAAGTGAAGACCCAGAAATGGTTGTCTGTCGTTCTCTCTAAAGCACAAGGGCGTCCTTTCCCCAGTTTTTCCCCCCCCCCCCCCTCCCCCCCCTCCGCCGCGAGCGCAGGGCAGTGCAGCAGCTGTTGCAGAGTCGAATTCCGGTGACTGCGCTGAACCGCCAGGAGCTTCGAGCTTCTCCGGGGGGGGGTTCTCGCAAGGTAAAAGTAGCCCAGTGGTTGATTCCTCCAAAACTAATTGGAACGGGGCCTCCGGGCCTTCAGCGGGAATCAAACGACCTTTTTCGGATGCGCCTCGAGCTGCGGGCGCCCGGGCTGGTGCTGTTTTCCGACCTGCCGATGGAAAGCTCCACCGGTCTCACCTGGGCATAGGCTGAGGCTGTTGCCATGCGTGCTCGATGTTTCAAAGCGGCGGGTCCAGAGGTAAACCCTAAAGCGCGGTCCAATGTGTCGCGACAAATGGGTCCTGGAATGTCCAGGTTTCCTCTAGGTATGCCAAGCTTGTCAAGGAAAGGATTCGGGAACAGGAATAAGTTGGTTGACGGCACGTTTTTTACTTGCGGCCCAATGACTCCCAAAAGAAAACCATCTCATTTGGTAGAGTGGATGAAGGGTTCCTTTGGGGATTGTTGATCTCGAGATGATAAAGCAAACCATTTGCCCAGACCCGCGGTCACGCTCAAATCAGCCAAGCTGCGAGCCAGGAGATGTCGCCCGCGGATGTGGCCTTCCAACGTGGGCACCAGGACTCAGTCACAACGGGACACATGGCGAGGTCTGTTCCTAGGGGGCCTAGACAAATGAACCAAGTAGTATGCGATTGATTCCATACCAAGCAAGTGGGGTCGCCCATGAATTCAGAACCAAACCTTCTTTTGGTTCCTCCTCTTTCGGGTGGTTTCAAAGGGAAACCAAAAGGAAACCACCATTTTGGTTGGGCCCCCTCAAAAAGCACACTTTGAATCCTCTAGGAGAATCCCCACATTTTCCTGGGTTCCCTTTTTGGGGCTGCTTTCAAGTGAGAAGGGAAGGCCCCATGCATGTTAGGTTTATCGCGTTTGGACGGTTCCCGGTAGTTCTCCTGTGCGACTCTCTTGTCCTCGCCAGGGCTCGCATCGGTTAGCGCCGAAGCCAGGTGAAAGAAAGTCCTGCTACAAAACTTATGAGAAAATCGTTTTGCCCATCCAAATGCAAATGTTCAACAGAAGCTCGGCATGTCGTTTTACGGTAGCATGTTGTGCGAGAAACCCTGAAATTTACCATGCGTGGGCCAACTTGAAACTTATTAAACGTTTTCCGACTGTTACCTTGATCTGTTGCTAGAACTTCAACTCTTGGATACTGTAGGGTATGGCTGGGGACTGCCAAGTTTGTTGGTGCGCTTGTGGATTTGATATCTTTCGAAGGGCTTGGCGGGTCCCGCAATTACCAAGGAAATGCGAATCACAGGGCCCCTGTGTTGTCCGCCGTCCGCCTGAAGCCAAAGGAAAAGCGGAGATCCCGAAGCACAAATCCTTCAAAAGATTTGGACTTAGAATCCAACCTCACAAAGGCTTATGAAGGTTCCTCATCATTGCCCAACCGAAACAAGGAAGTAAACAAGCCAAACCATCCACATCCATTGGGGTTCTATTTCTTCATCTTCTCACAATCCCCCCCCCCCAATAAAAAGAAGAAGAAAGAAACAGGTGGAACACGCCCCCCCCTTCAAAACATCGAGGAACTCCCCTCCAAACTCGTTGCCTTCCATACGCCTCCCATGATCACCGCCCTCAGGATGCCTTTGAGCAGTTGGTGCTGCACCGCGTGGGCGAGTTGGGCAACTTGCAGGCGTGGAGTGCTTTGAATCCGCAGGGCTTGTCAGGGCTTGTCTTACTTTTTCCCTTTTCCACCTTGCAACCATTTCCCATGCGCCCAAACTTGTTTTGTGGGGGGGGGGTATATGGCGGGAAGGCAGATGAACCTTTGTATGAATGGTTGCCCTCCAACAGTCATTCCATGGAAGGAGATATCATGGGAGCAAGGGATTCCGGTTGGCCCCTGTTTTAGTGTTTGTTTTTGGTTTCGCTGGGTTTGAGCTGCTCCAACTTCAACACGCCAAGGTCTTGGCACTGCTGGCCACGCCTTTGCTCGCCCTATTTTGACGCTCATCCCCCCTTTGTCTCGGCATGCGCGGCCTGCAGGCGCCTGCCAAAAAGAGACGAGGCGAGGTGGGGGGAAGATGAGCGTTCAGCCGCCCTTGATTTATGAGAGAGCAAAAGGCCATTATTCTTGTCATAAAGGTCCCATATGCGGATGCCATGAACAGGGTCTGCCCCCACACATCACCCTCCTACCTTGCGCCCAGCATCAGATGCAACTGCTTTTAGGAAACGCGTCCCCATGATATATTCCGGCAGTGAGTATTTATCCGGGGTCAACATTGCACGTTTATGGACCCCCCCCGCTTTGGGGCCATCTTATTGACAATGGCTTTTCAAAGACCTGCTTTGGTTGGCAAACGGGCAAACTCACCGAGGAGAGGCTCCAGGTTCCAACTGACAGATCCGCGGCCTGGGAACCGTCAAGCCGGGTTCAGCCAAAGCACGGGTCAACTAAGGACCACCAAAGGCCCACAGGTCTGTTTCTGGGACCTGTTGACATCACGGTACATTCTATGGATTCCAAGAAACCGCATGATTAGGGCTTGGGTTTCGCAGCTGTCCTTAGAAGTGTTTGAGAGATCGGAACCCACCGACCAGGAGCATCCAAAGGCTGCAGGGAGTACTTGCTTCAGCCTCTGCGCTATGAGGATCGCTGAGGGTCGTTTACCCCGGCGCCTCTGGGGTATCAAAGTCGGTGCCATGATTTGGACGATTTCTGTTGGTGTCAAAGTCGGTGACTTTGACTATGGATAATGCTTATTCAGTGTGTACATGAGCAGACTCAGGTAAGTTGGATTATGGCATATCCGCAAGAGAAGCACTTAAACTAAGGAGAAGTTCCGCACTAGAAGGAAAGTAAAACATTTGGCCTGATCCTGAGGCAAGCATGTGCTAGTTGCGCGCACAGTTTTTTCTAGTGCGTGTGCGTACTTGTCAGACCCGGTCCGCATGTTTGCCTGTTGCACGCCTATGTTCAGGGCAGGTGCTTTTGGCGCAGTTAGGTGACAAAAAAGCCGATGTCAACATCCACAATCCCCGCCCCCCACCCCATCCCAAAACACCCTCCCCAATGGGCAAGCACAAAGAACCGAGAGATAAACCCGAGAACCGCCCCCCCCCCCCCACCGCTGCCCCCCACAATTAGTTTCGAGAGTTGCTCCAATCAACTCATTATTTTCAAAGTGCTCCAATAAACACTATATTTTTTCAAAGGACATGAGCTCGCCGAACAGGATACTACCTACCCTCTTCCCCCCCCGCCCCCCCCCAAACGAAACGGGTCGATGTGTCAGGAGGGCCGGCTGCTGGACGATCGCCGCAAGGCGGTGATGATGGCCTGGGAGGCTCAGCTCATGGCGCGGCACGCCGAGGCTCAGCTCATGGCACCGACGTGCACCGACGCGTGCGGCGTGGCCGGGTCTGGGGTTGGTACTCCTTGGATGGCTCTTTAAGGGGAAGCCAAAGTTCACATCTTCTTTAGGGGACGCCAAAAAGGGACATCTGTTTTTTTGGGACACCAAAAGGGGCATCTTTTTACTTGAGGCCAAAAGGGAAGCGTCAAAAGGGAGGACAACACCGCGCCACCGCCCGGAAGCCAAGGGGAACCAAGGAACCTGAAGCCCATTTCCGCAAGGTTTGGGGTGTGGAGAAAAATTTGCCAGTCTATGGTTGAAGGGGGGACGAACCCGAAAGTTCACAAGAACCAATGCGTTTTCTTTTGTTTTGGAGAAACAAGGCATTCTGACTGTGCCTCAAGTGGTTCTGCTGCCAGACCTCCGGGGCTTGGCCTTTCCTTTGCTTTCAACTTGTTTTTGAGGCGCGTCCTCATTTAATTTCAAGTACCGGGCTGGTCTTCTTTTGTGGGATCCTCGTTTTGGTTGGTTGCAAAGGAAACCAGGAACGACCCATTTTTGGAAGCCCCTATTTTGGGCCGGGCCCTACTAAAGCAAGAGGATGGCCTTGTCTTTTGCAGGGCCAATGGATGTCTGGGCTCGGCATACCTATTTGTTACCAAGGGAAACCATGCAAGGCGAGGAGACACAACACATGGAATGGCGAATTTATACTACTTCCGCAATTGCATTCGCCCAGCTATGGAACTTTGTGGGAACCACCCTCAAAAGATTTGTGGGCGCAAACGGTCTTGTGAATGATGTCCTAGCAAAGTCGCAGCCTCCCCTGAGTGATTTTTCCGTCCTTTTTCCTTCCGAACCAAAGCCACGGGGTTTTCCCAAGGACGCTTCGCACAAAATCAGCCGTCCGCTGTTTCCCCCACCGCCAGGTGCTCCTGCCGCAGAAGGGCCTCAAGGTCTTGAATGTGGGGCCGGGGACCGAGATCTCTCCGACGCTCCGAGCGGAAGTTTTTGGACGTCGGTTGGGGCGCGGGTGAAAACTTGGTACATCTTGGTACCTGAAATGGCTGGCCCTGGTGGATGGGAAAGGACCAAAATCTGCGGTCCGTATCCTCGTGGTGTCCATTTGACCTATACGCATTGAGGTGGGGATTCATGTCCACCAACCACTGTTGAGGTGATACTAAAATTCACCGCACGGAACCGGTTCGCATGAGGAGAAGGATCTAGACCTCTCCGGCTTTCCAGTCCGCGGGATTCCAGGTTCGGCATGGGCCTTGTGGATGGCTTCCTGCAAGAGAAGGAGCCCTCGCTGCACGTCATCGTGGAGGCTTCGAGTCTTGAAACGTGAGGCCGTGGCTTCCACGGCTTGGGTTGGTCATGACGTCTCTCTGCTCCGATCCCTCTCAGTAGATGGAGAAAGCTGTCCTATGGGTGGTTTCCTTTCGGCATGGTCAGATTCAAGGTCTATCAGCCGCATTCTAGACAACCATTGTGAGGGTTAGTGAGGGAGAGATGACCATGACTCTGACCTGGGTAAGGGGCTTTGAGCACGGAGCATGTGAAGGCTCGCATAGGCGCATTTGTTTATCTACACATGGAGATGCCGACTAGAGAGAGACCAGTATTTGCACAAGTGAAGTCACAAGTGTCTGGAAGATAGTAAGCTTCTCCAGCCACATCCCGAAACTTGGCGAAGATACCAAATGCATACATGTCGAAAAGAAGAAAGGAAGACTTGCTCATTCTTGCTCTGTAGGCAATCCTCTACGGACATGCGTAAAAGGATCATTTGGGGGACCCTTCTGAGGCGAATTGGAACTTGCTGACTTCGTGAACGCATTCAATGTGCACTCCGGTACATGCGCAGAGAAGCTGGGGCACAGGCCCACGCCTCCGAACATATTTTGGCAGGATATAACATGCACACCTGGGTAAGACGCAACACCTAATGATTAAATAGCAAACCCTCTTCCGCGTCACTGCCTCCAACTATGGCCAGCTAGAAGTCCTGAATCTAATGGCAACATTAGGCCACGAACCAACATGTGGAAGTTTCTCCACTGCTTGGACCCCTTTGATTAGTATATGCATGGAACTTTAAAGGAAGTCAATAATTTTAAGAACCCCTATTTGAGAAATGCCCATGCCCCGATCCGCCGCTGGATCATGGCCTGAGCTTACAGCGACCCCAGGAGTTGTGGGTGCAAGGCGGATCTAGGATCCTTGCCGCTTTCTGGATGAACGCGTATTGCCTGACCTGAGCACTCGTGCCCCCTGTCTAAAAGAGTGGGGTTCCTTGCCCTTGTTAGTGTTTGGCAGGCCCAGGGTGACAAGGTTTCATTTGAGGGGACGGAATGCACTTGGCTGAAATGGCTGCCGCGGCGGCCATTTTGGCTCAAGTGCCAAAATAGCTTTCTTTTCGTGGTAGTTGCCTCTCCTCGTAACGCTCGGACATGTTCGTCGTGCGGGGTGGGCTACTACACCAGTGGACTCAGCGGTCAACCTCCGCCGCTTCGAGCTCTATGCTACCGGGCTGCAGCGTTCCGATGTTGCTGCCCTTCTTGAGGAGGTATGCATCTTCTTGCACCGCCCGTTCTTCTCTGTCCCCGTCGTGGTTCAGGGCCTGGAGGTGGTCGAGGTGCCCTGTGTCGAGAGCAACTGCAATCGCTGCTTGTCGGGTAGAGGGGGTTTCCGGTTCAACTGGGTCCACCCTGCCTGGACTTGTGCCGGGGCGGTGGAGGCCCTCGGGGGGCGGTCTCTCCCCTGCGCAGAGCAGGAGCGGGAACTTTCCTGGGAGGAGCTCGTGCCGCTGGTGGACACCACGGTTCACATGGACTCCTTCTACCCGGACTTCATGCGTTTGCTCATGGAGCGGCCCCATGACATGGTGCCTGTCCCGCCTCTCGCATGCCTGGGCGATGTGGACTCGGTCCGTTGGGGGCTGGCGCAATCCCCGGATGGTGCCCGATCGGCGTGCAAGGATCGTACGCCTCGAGGCCCGGTTTGCTACAATGTTGGTGGTTTGGCACACGCAAGCACGGGGAGGACATGTTCTCCTACCTCCATGCGCATGGTGTGGTTTGCCGACCGGCAACTTCTGTGAGCGATGTGATGGCCCCCTTTGCAATGCCTGTGAAGAGCAGTTCACCTATTGTGTGCCCTGCCTTCAGCGGTCGTTTGAGGATTAAGGTGCAGCCGCCAGGCGCGGTTGGGAAGCCCGCCTGCGCTGAACCTTGGAGGCTGATTTGCTGCCTGGCCAGCACAGTCTTGGTGGTGCTGCTCTGACCCCTCGGGTTTCAGCGGCCACTGCGATACGACTGCCAGCAGCACCGGGCCCGTCAGATGAGGTGGAATCCGCGGCCTGGAGCACTAAGGTGGCAGAATGGAGGCGGCTTCACGAGATGGAAGACGATGGTGACTTCGCCTTCTGCTTCACTGATGCTGACCAGGCCCGTACCCATGGTCCGTGGCTCCTTTTTTCACTGGGTCGAGGTGAGGAGGCTGTACATGTTGGACCTGGCACAGGCTTGCCCCGCTCCCACGGCGCAAGGTTTCCGACCGGCAGACTATTAAGGTGAAGCCAGGCCAGCTTGAGGCCCGTAATCGTGCCCATGTGGAGCAGCTGATGGGGATTCTCATCCGCGCCTATTCTACCTCCAAGGTGCTCACAGCGTTGGAGTACCAGGAGCAGGCAGCTTCTTTTCGCAGGCGGGCTGAACAAGTGGTGAAAGCCAGCGAGCCAGCCACCATTCATCGGGCCTTGTGCACATGGGATGAGCTGATTGCCTTTTTGCATGAATCCCAGAGACGGTTTTCAGACCTCCAGTCAGCTGCGGTTGAGGCCTTCATTCATAGCCAGAAAGCGCCGGGACGAGCTTTCACTTCCCTCAAATGGCTGGCAACTTTCATCTTCAGATTCCGGTTGATCATTGAATCATGTGCTTCCCCACCTGCTGTTCGCCCCCGGTCAACCCTGGGAGAAGGATCTAGGCAGGCGGCCGTTTTGGAGCCGGCGATGGTTTTTCCCTTGGGGCAAGCGGTTGCCGCTAGTCACAAACAGGGGCATCCGGCCTGGCTTGGGCTGTTGGGTCACTGGCTGCAGATGACGAGCTGCACGCGGCTAGCGCATTTGTCCCGCTCAGTGATTCTCAGGGTCTCCCCGCTAATGGTCCACTGCCACTGCAGTAAGGGGAAGCAGAGACAGCTTCGGGAGAGTGGGTTCGACTTCGCGATTCGGCCCGGCCACTCGGGCCGGCCAGAGCCTCCGGGTGGGCGCAGGCATGGGCAGTATTTTCATTGGCCCGCTCCCCCACCGCGAGATGGTCGACTTCTTCCAGGAGGCCGGCATCACCACGGTCGTGACGGCCTTCAGCAAGCCCGTTGCTTCGCAGACGGCAGGGGGGAGGCAGGGATGCCTTCCGCCTGGCGTGCTGCACTTGCGCTTCGCGGCAACCGACAATCGGGTCCGAGATGAGGAGCTTATCCGGGCATGGCACGCCGTCGAAGCCACTGTCAGGCGCGGAGAGTCCGCCTATCTCCATTGTCTGGCGGGGGTGCGTCGCGCACCGTTTGCGGCATTGCCGCTGGTGGCTGCGCTGCGCCAGTGCTCGATCGCTGAGGCCGCGCAGATCATCTCCGAGGCCCAGGCAGTCGAACTCGACAAGATGTGGGCTGGGCGCCGTGGTGAAGACAACTGGGGCTGGGCATCTTCCGCGGTGAGGCGTCTGCGGTTTCGCATTGGCGCTGACCTGGAGGTGGCTGAGTTTCAGTGCGCCAACCAGCACAGGGCGCGGTGGCATGCGATGGCGGCGGGAGCCCCGATTTGCCAGCAGCGCCGTGGTGCTCTTCGCGCGGGCATTCATGAACCGATGTGGACGGCCAGCACGATCCTGGAGGTCCTTGGGTACGACCGCGACCTACGCAGTGAGTGTCGGGTTTTGCTGCCGGGATCGATCCGTGCGCATTGCGGCTAGGTGCCCAAGGTTAGTTGCATGGCCTTCAGCTTCGCTTGATTTACACAACCTTTCATGAGATAATTGCAGTGCTGAGGTTCATGTTTGGATTCAGGACCCGCGCTGAGGGGCTGCAGTTGAGCATTCCTGCCGCTTTTTCCCTCCTTTTTCGGGATGCACAGTGCCAGGCCGAAAACAGCTCACCGTGGGGTCTGTGTAGCCCACGTTGTAGTCTGTTGCAGGGTTGCAGCCGTGCGGGGGGACCCAACGGTTGGCAGCGCATGTTGTCGGCTTGCTCTGATGCAGGGGACCCATTTGGCACGCCCCAACCCGTGTGATCCGGCACCCACGTTGAAGTGCCAGATTTTGACAAGCTTCGGGGGTCCCATCCAGCAACCCGTGCCAGATTTTGGTGTGCTTGAAGCGTCACCATCTGGCACCCCGGCGGTGAAGGTGCGTTTTGGAGCAATGCCTGCCAGGTTTTGGTGCGCTTGAAGGGTCACCGTCTGGCACCCGCGTTGGGGGTCCCAGCCAACAACCCGTGCCAGATTTTGGTGCGCTTGAGGGGGGGGTCACACAACCGTTAGGGTGCCAGATTTTGACGAGTTTCGGGGTCGTTATCTGGCACCTTGCTTCAGCTTGTGGCTCAGGTCATTGCCGACATTTGCCATGACGACCACTGCGCTGCCTCGGCGCCCTGGCCCGGAGGCAGTGTTCCGCAAACTCGGGGTTGACTTCAAGCTCCATGAGAAGGTGGTCGACCACCTGCTGAAGCAAGGCCTGCAGGACTTGGACGATTTCCGGTTTTTTCCACTTGGGAATGTCAAGGTTTCAAGCGGATACCCGAGAAAGAGATCAAAGCAAGGCCTCTCTGCAGGACCTTGACTCCCCTCTTGAGGATTCTGACCTGGCAGACCTCAAGACGCTCTTCTGGAGACGATATCGGGTTTCCTACCTCCTGAGATCTATCCGGCTGATGTTCTCATCAGCCGAGTGGCCCGTGAATGCGGCAAGCGCATGCTCATGGTCACCAATCTATGGCTTGTGCATGTACCAGGTCACCACGAGCAGGAAGCAGAAGGTCGGGGAGAACCTGTACACGGATGTCCAGGAAGAGATCGTCCCCTCAACCAAGAACGTGCAGGGCTACTTGCCGCGGATATTCACGTATTTGCTTTCGCTGGCTATGGCCGGGGTTCTTGCCCGGGAGGGCGTCCCGGATCCGCCCGCATAGGGGACTCTGGGGGCCGATAGTACCAAATATGTGGATATTCCGTTGGACACGGTGATGCAGTATTATTAGGGCGGTCCGCACCGTTGGGCAGTGGGCGGGCCATGCCCTTTGGGCTGGTTGGAGCACCAGGACGCGCAGGAAAGGGCTCAATGGTCCAGCTCTACAGGCAGTCGCAGCGTCCCTTGGGTGAGATTATCCGAGAGGTCATGCAGCAGCGGGATGCCCACTGGGCCGCAGAGAGGCCCGTCTTTCCTCCTCTACCACCAGCCCTCAGCCAGAAGATCGAGACCAAGCAGGTGCCTTCTCAGGAAAGCGTAAACGGCAAGCCGGTCAAGTGCGTCAATCAGGCAGGGGAACGACTCTGCAAGGACTTCCAGGCAGGTAAGTGTACCTCCACAAATTGCAAAAAGGGTGTTCGTCGTTGTGCAGTTGTGTTGCGGAATGGCAAGGTCTGCTACATGAATCACCCCGCAATCCATTGTGTGGTTAAGAAGACCATGGCTTGACGGGGCCCGCCGGCGCCAGTGAGGCAGGGGCGCTGGTTGTCTAGTGATGGGAATCGCTTGGAGTTTTGCTCGGCTTTGAGGCCCGCGCAGCATGTCTGGGCGTTACACCAGGCTGCTCTGCGGCATGGGTCCTCCATCACGCAGGCCTGTGCAGGGATGCAGAGCGCAGGCGAGGACTGGCCGCATGCCTACCGTTTGGTTCCGATGAAGCCGGATCAGGCCGAAGCATGTGTGGTGGTTTTCTATCACCCTCAGTGGGGAATGCCTGCCTTTCAGTTATACTATGGGATGCTTTTTGGTCTCCCACTTGCAGTCACTTCGTTTAATCGGTACAGTCGTTTTTGCGAGGCGGCGGTGAGGCGATTCCTGGGCACCCTTTTCTTGATGTATTTTGATGATGGCACCATTCAGGACTGGGCTTCCCCCAGCCCTTTTGCACAACAGGCTGTTTCCCAGTTCATGCACCTTCTCGGGACACCGTGGGCAGAGGAGAAATCGCGCTTTTGCGACCTGCGGGGATTTCTTGGGTTTGGTCCATGATCTGTCTCAAGTCACCCAAGCAGGAACAATCCGCTTTTGGCCTCGGGAACGCTTGCAGACCAAGGTTTTGGGGTTTGTCCGCGAGGCGCTTAGTTCTGGAGTGCTGCGCGCAGGGACGGCCAGCAAGCTTTTCGGTTGCACCACTTTCTTCCAGGAGGGCGTTTTTGGCAAGGTGGGCCGGGCAGGCTTAAACCCCCTCAAGGAACGGCAGTATGACAAGCTGGTCCATCTGGATGGACCACTTGTTAATAGCTGTTTGCTCCTGGAGGCCTTGATGGCGGAACAGCCTCGTCGTGAGTGGTACCTTTGGCAGACCAGGGTCAAACGGTTTTTGGTTGCTTCGGACGCCGCCTTGGAGTCACCACGGGCCGGCACTGCGGGCTTCCTCCTTGTCCTTGACCCAGGCCTTCCCACGGAAACCCGCCTGGGCCATGTGGTTGACATCCCATCAGGGCTGTATGATCAATGGCGCCCGGATGGGTGGCACATTGCCCAGCTGGAGATGCTGATGGTACTGACACCCTCACAGTTTTTCATGGCCAGCTGCGGGGACGCACCGGCTTGTGGATGATAGACAACGTGGCTGCCCTGATGGCGCTCATCCTGGACTATTTGGGGATGCTTACACCCTCCCAACCCCTGGGCGAGTCGCAAAAACGCTCTCTCGTTACGGGGGTGCGGCAGACGGCTAAGTTCCTTGTGGGCCGTGGCCAACTTGGAGTTGGGTCGTGACTGCCGCTGCCAACAGCCTCCATCTTCTTCTTCACTGCGACCCCTTGACGTGGTCTGGGGCTGTGCCCAGCCAGTTTTGGGGCCGGGTGGTTAAGTTGGGAGCCTGTTGGAAATCGCTGCAATTCTGGCTGTGGAGCAGAATTGTCAGTGGTTAACCAATGCCATTAACACTCAGAGACACAGACCAGCGAAATGTGAAAACATCTGAGCTGCTTGGGTGGTTCCTCCCCCAAATGAAAGCGTTATTCCGCTCTTGTGCATCTCAGCAAGTCTCAAGGCTGGGAGATGTTGCTAGCCTCAATTGGTACTCCGGCGCCCCTCCCCCATTTGTGGCAGGTCTCGGCAGTTTTGCCCTGGGACATGTGTGCAGAGGCGATTGAATTGCCCTGGACCCATGCTGACAGGCGCATAAGGACGTCCTGGCGGAGATGAGGCCAGGATTGGATTCGCTGCGCTCCTCTCATGCAAGTGGACATTTTGCGGGATGCTAAAACATTTTGTTTGGGTGGACTTCCTTCTTGCGAGAGTGTAACCAGCGATGCTTGCGATGAAACTGTTCCTATCAGATTTCTTGACCCCCGTCAGTTTCACTTCTTATTCTGCAGGATGTTTTGCCACTGACCCAGCCTGTCCGTGTCATTCAATGGTTGTCAAGCACCCCCCAATCATAGGGGCGAATGGGCTGATAAGTTCCCTCTTTGGTGCCCTAAGACAAGCAATGGCGCGTTTTGGCACGCCAGGCATCCTTCTTTAAGGGGGCAAGATTTGGCTGCCGGCAGAACTGGAGGTTGACCCCCGAGCCCTTAGGCGCCGTGGCTGGCACGCGCGGCCCGGGGTGAAGGTCTACGAAGGTGGGCCGGAAACAAAGGGCATCGGTTTTCGAAGAACACCTGCAACTGAAATGGTCCAACTTGGGGATGGTTTGTGACTGGCGAAAGGCAAGGCGGGCAGGGGTGGTGCTTTGAGTTGAGCCTTGGGCAGTGGGTTGAAACCCGGCGATGTTTAGTTGCCAGGCGTCTGGCAGGACATCCTCAGCCAGCTGCCAGGAGGCTCGACACTTTGGTTCTGTCAAGATCGATGGGGGGCCCTTTCACCTTGTGCACAGTTCAAGCGTTGTTCCCACCGAGTCCTTTGTTCCCAGCTTGCATGTGCCAAGGGCTTGTTTCTGCACGCAAGGCCCAAGAATCAAACTGCTGGGTGGACACATGGCCAATCTTTCCGCCGTTCGCCAAAATGAATCCCTGCCAGGCCTGCCGTTTTCAGTCGTATCCTTTGAGATCATGCGCTTTTTGGAGGGGTGCCAGGTTAGCTAGAAGTCAACTATGGCCATAGCGGTTGGGAGAGACTTTGGGGAGATGGCTTTGTCGGGCCTCTCCTGATAGGGCACAGACCCTCTTTTCCAACAAACATGTCCGAAGGGTTTTGGCAGACCATGATCTTGAGACGGCATCTTCACTTCCATGTGGGCATGTTTCTTTTTAGGGCCCCCCCAAATGTTGGTTGGTCCTGCGTCACAGGTTCTTGCGCTTGTTGGGCCCCCCCCTTGCTAGGAAAAGTCGCAGAGGTGCCACCCTCGGAATTCCCCAAGGAGGGTTCCGGCTGCTTGGAAGTGCCGCGAGGCTCCTCTGCCCCCCCCCCCCGCGCCGCGAGGCTTCGACGCGGTCTTCTTCGACACCTGGGCGGAGGGCTACGAGGAGCTGAGCTGCTTTCAGGCGAGTCACGAATCGACGCGATGTCTTGTGGGCTATGAAACAGCCATTGCCCCATTTTATGGGGCGGTCTCAAGTAAAGAACCCCGTTGGATGATGGTTTAAGGGAAACCAAAAGCAACCAGCCGGTTTTGGGGGGGTCCCTATTTTGGAGACACGCTCTTGCAGTTCGGTTTCTTTGAGCTTTCCAATGGTGGTTTCCGTGGGTACATGCTATGCAGACTGAAATCACGCGAAATCCGGGCCCCATTCGGTTTCACGGTCAAACACGAAATGGGGAAATGAGGAAAAGCGGTTGTGGTTGAACATTGGCCAGACAGGGAGGGCAAGGGAGCCAAGCAGCTGGGGGCATCCAAATTTGCCCTTACAGAGGGAGAAAGGAGCACCAGACATCGTAGAGTTTAGGACCCCCCTTCTTGGGTGTTCCACTAGCTGCTTGAAGGAGGAACCCCAAGCTAACCCAGGTGGCCAACCACTTGGCACACCAGCCAAACGCCACGTTAGGGAACTGGGGGCAATGCCCTGTTTTGTTGAAGCTAGACGTCTTTCCTGTCTGAAGAAGGGAGCAGTGCACTCGTTGTGGGATGCTGACTGGATGTTTTGCAACCTCTGCCCGGGGGAAGACTCGAAGAGAAGCTTCGGGTAGAGGCAAGTCCTCTACAGTGTACATGGGTATGTCGCACGCTCATTCTGTCTTTGCGCACCTCTGCACTGAAAAGACGCTCCTCTGCCAAGAAGGGAAGCGTAAATATGCAGCTGGGCCGTGTAGAGATTGAGCGGACAACTTGTATTTGTATAATCCGGTTTCGCACTTGGTCGATGTTTCTGTTCCAGCTTGCTGTGACCAGGGCCAACGACCGGCCACCTGCAGCCTATCTTCACCCCTGCCACCAACCCCATGGCCCATCCGCAGGCAGCGCTGCCTCGGCTGCTGGGCGTCGAGGGCCGCTTCTCCTTCTTCAACGGCCTGGCCCCTTGGAGCGTGGCCGAGCACGCGGCCTGGTGCCGCCTGGCCCAGGAGCGCTCGGCTCGGCTCAGCTCGGTTTGTCGGACGGCGGCCTTGGCCTTGAAGGGGCGGCTTCCCTTTCCTTCGCAGTCCCCGGGATATATACCGACAAAATTGATTGACACACGGCTATGACTTCTTGTTGAAACGCCCCAACAAGCGGTTTGCGGGCATCTGCAATTGAGGTTCACGCTGCAAGCCCTTTTCGAAACCCTGACATTTGGTGCAGACAATTGCATGTCGGATGAGGTGGATAGTGTAAGGGCTGGCCCTCAAAACCGTTCTCGGTCATTGATAAAATACATTCGGAGACCGCTGTTGCGGAAAAGCCAGGGCTGCTCGGTTCAAGATGAAGATAGTATATATATATATATATGTACATATATGTTGTTTACTGCGTCTACAAACTAATGTGCGCACAGACAATTGTGCGGGTATATATACATATATATATATGTATATATATATGTACATGTATTTACAGACATGTACATGTTTATGCCATGTTTATACATGCACACAACAGACTCTCGCCTGCCTTCTCACAGCCGGCATTTGTCAATTTGTTAAAGCAACGGCTGTTACATGTACTGGCATGTAGCTTATTTTTTGCCGTGAGTTCCATGCGACGAGTAAGCCATTTTCTCGCTCACCTGGGCAACTGTCATGGGGGAAGGGTGTGTGAGAGAGCCTGGCTACTACAAGAGCAGGGTGCTGTCAGTGGCTTCGCGAGTTAAAGCAGGTCTCTTGTGGACCTCAGTTGCTTCTACCCCCAAGCTCACCCCAAACCCCCGAACCCCAAACCCACCCAAACCCACCCCAAAAACTCACCCGAACCCCCAGCCCAAACCCCACACCCTACCCATACCTTACAGGAGGACCTCCAGGAGCTGGGCTTTTGCTGCGGCTTCCTGCCCCTGGAGCCTCTGCGTAAGGGGGGGGGGGGCGGCAGGTCTGGGAAGGGGGGAGGTCTGGGAAGGGAGGGGGTAGTCTTAGGAGTTTTAGGTAGTTTTTAGGGACGACTACTTGTATTTGCCCGAAAAACCCAACAAACAAATCATATGCGTGCGGAAAGGTTTGTTGGAGGGAATCAACGTTTCGCGACCATAGGCCATAAAAGTCCTTTTTAGGTTAGTTTGATGGAAACGAATCGATGGCACCGGTTCAATGGGTTTCTTTCAATTTACAAGGGCCATTTGTTCTTGCAAAAGGCCACCTATGTTTGCGACAACTAGAATGACCTTCCACATCATGAACCTCCCTTTGTCTCTTGGATCGGGGATCACAGTGAATCGGACTCCCTGGCATGTGGGATCCAGAAGTCTGCGATTCAGGGCTTCCCACTTCGAGAGTTTTTTGCGCGAGACTCGCCGTGAATTGACCAGCAAGACATGGAGAAGCCGTCGCAGGGTGTCCCCAACTCAGCAGCTCCACCGCCAAAGAGCCTTCCGGCAAATCCATTTGAATGTATCCAAATCAGCATCTCATTCACCTCATCAGACATCAATTTGGAGCTTGTCGCAATATGAGCCGCATTCAACTGACACCAATCGCCCTTGAAGCAGGCGTCCTTATATTTCCTTTTTTTTGTGATTCACTCAACTATGAGTTGCCTTTGGGTGGGGTGATGCTCAAAGAAAATCCTCATTACATGGAATGTGTCAATAGTAGCTGGCGCACTCCAAGGCCTTTTCCGTGCCCTGAACAAAGGGGCTGGGGGTTCCGTGAGCGAAAGTCCCGGTCGAACCATGCGCAGGAGATCAGGCAAGGAGACTGGCAGGGCGTTTGTGAGAGATACTGGCAGACGCGGCCTCAGTCCAGCATTCGAATTCGGGACATGTTCAAGTACCTTTCCTGGCAAAGACCCCCAGGTAGGACATTTCAACGTAGGTTCACGGCTGTTGGCCATTTTCAGGTTCCCAAAAGCAAGTATGGAACGGAAGGAGCCGGCGTTCAGCAGTTTGGGGGGCAAACGCCGCTGATTTTGGGTGTTCAACCTATCACTTGGGAAGCATTTTTTGAAGAGCGGGGCCAGATCAAAAGGGAAACTCACCTGTTTTTTCGACAGCTCGGGGGGAGCTTTCGCTGCCACGTTTGTGACGCAACTGATGCTGAGGGCAGATGTGGGTCAGCATCCTTTTGTGCTCCATGGGCAAGGTCCCTCCATTGTATTTGCTCGCTGACCATGGGCCCTGCCCTTCTGCCCGCCTGACATTTGGTTCTAAAATGAGCGACACCTTTTGGACGGTACCTTGGATACCAAAAAAGAGAGCCAGTCAGCATCAGTTTTCAGGAGTCTACTTGAGCTTTGTGAGTCATTCCAAGGTTCGACACCTACTACCTGCCCTTGGCTAGGCACGAGAGTGGAGTGGAGCCTGCCTGGGAAGACCTAAAAAAGACCCCATGATTAGTACATAACCCTTGCAAAGTTTTTTCTTTTACTACCTAGCAAGCTCCCAGACCATCCAAGTTTTTAGGGCTGGTCACAGATCCTTCGAAAAGACCAGTCCAAAGTTTATTTGAAGCGGGCCCGCAGGCAGTTGCAGTTTGATTTCAAACCAGGGCGGTTGCTTGCCCGGGGCCTGAACCTGAACCATCCATTTCAGGAAGGACTTGTCTTGGGATCGCATTCCGAGCATTTTACAACCGTACCAAGAAGCTTCTGTTTCAATCATTCGGGAGACCTACAACTTTTAGGAATCAGTGCACATGGAAATCCGGCGCTTGCTCCCTTTTGGTTGTTTGAGCCCTAGCTTGCTTTTTTGACCCTTATTTGAATTGTTTGACCTCTTTCCTCGTTTTTGAAATCGGGGACTCTTGCGATACTTGTTTTCTGGATTCTGCACTCAGGTGAAGCCTCTTTTGTTGACCCCTTGTTCCCAGAGAGCAAGTCGGACTCTTTTCTGACAATCTAAGTGCATTTCTTGCTGCTCAGTTTGGGCCTGTCGTGCAGGTTTTCGCTTGGGCCATCCCCTTGCACTGCACTCTTGCCACCGAACTCAGGAAGGTCGCGAGGTTGCTCCCTCCTCTGGCCGTTCCTAGGATGCGAGCAAACCACATAGAAAATTGGTCCAGGGTTTCCTTGGGGGAATGAGGGGATGACCCCTGGCCCAATTAGCCATCCCTTGTTTCCTTGAACTGATGGGGGGGGGGTTCAGTGATTCCTTACAAGTTGTTCAAACCGGGTCAGAGCCAGTTAGGTTCAACCCGCTTTGTACCAATCCTTCGGCTCCTGTCCAGATGTTAGAACGCGAAGGACTGAAATCCCTTACACAAGCTTTCACCGACACTACTCTGCCAGTGTGCCTAAGGAAGCCAAAGAATACCAAAGGGTGGAATCCTTTTGGCCAGATCTGCCCTTCTGACTCTTAACGCTCTTCTCCAAGGGCTTTGGCTACTATGGGCTGGAAAAGGAGAACTTTGCCACTTGAACCAAAGGCAACCGAAGGAACTCCAAAGAACATTTGCTGCTTGAACCCAAGGAATACCAAAGGAATACCACAGGACATTTGCCACTTGAACCCATCAACTGGTAGACTGCTTTTCAGCGTTTTCACAGGCGCGACCCGACTTGGGAAGCTTCCTGGCGCGGCTGGCCCACCTTCCCGGCGCGTGGAAGGGGTGGGGGGTCGTGAAAAGGACAACGCGCGGATGTGCGTCTTGAAACTATTTCGTGGAAACGTCGGCGTGGGAAGTCTCGAAAAGGGGAAAAAGAGTTTGGAGGTGCCAAAGAGGCGACTGACCAGGCTGGCAGGTTTTATGGGAAGACCACGGGTGGCCGCTGACAAGCTGAAAATCCATTGCTCGGGTTTGTGGGGTTGTTGGGGCATCGGACCTTCCACGGAAGGGGTTAGGATCTCCCTTGGAAGGTTTTGGACCTCAAGAGGGCCTTTTGGAGGGCCCAAGATGCTTAGGGATATTCCTCCATTTCGAAGCAACGGAGGAACAACCATTTCGTGCAGGATTTGGTACAAGTGGTTCATGGCGAAGCATAGCGCGACAATTCTGCGCTGTTGGCAAAATTGTGTAAGATAAAGCCATGTCTTCGACAAACATGTGTCTTCAGTGTGGACTTGCTATTCCTACTTTGAACTTACCACGTTGGGAGCGGGTTGGCAGCCAAACCGCCATTGTTCTCTGTTACTGGGACGGGCTTCCACTGACTGCTCACGCCGGCATCAATGAAGGATTGCTGACAAGAAAAAAGAGATTCAGACACAGGAAACACGGCCCTATTTTGAATCGCGGAGATTCACGTCGTGGGTTGAAGCCGACGTTGCGTCCTCAAGAACTCAGCTTGTTCCCAAGCTACGGCTGAAACTCGGTCGTTGTAGCCTGTCCTAGCGGAGCTGAATAGGTGGCAGCTGTGGGCAGGAAGCTCAATCATGAGTTTGAAGTCGATGGGATTCCCTGTTGATTTCCATCGCTTCCTTTCTTTGTTGCCAATTACTTCTACAGGGGTCGGTCCTCCTGGCCTCGAGGATTTGCGCGCTTGTCATTGCCACCTTTTTAGCTCCACCGTGTGAGAGGGCACGGGCAATCTTCACGGCATAGGTCGCCCTTTTAGATTTGTTTGCCTAGACCATTTGATGGCCCTGGCTTAGATGTTTTTCTGTTTCATTTCCCAGGGAAATCGTCGATTTTTCCAAAATCTGGTCCCCAGTGACAAAAGGATCCTTTTTGGGGATGGATTTGATCCACCAAAGGAAAAGCGGGTGCCCAGTCGCCTTCGGCCGCACTCGGCAGCTTGTTCAGTGACACTGCGGTGGTAATCGATCCCGCGCGTGAATTTCTCGGGCAAACAGCTTGCGCAGGTCCATGTGTCGGATCAGATGGGCGTGAAGCTGCCTTTGAGGGAATTCGGGCTGTGCACAGGAGACCTGGGCGGTGACAATTGACTCGGGGAGCCTGACGGTTTGTTGTTCATCTATGCCTGTGTAGTCTTCATGGAAGCTTTGGGAGATGGGGTTTTCAGAAAAGATGAGCCCAACCTTTGGCTAAGTCGTTCACCCCCCACCCCCACCCCCACCCCCCACCCCCACCCCCACCCCCACCCCCACCCCCACCCCCGAAGCCTTGACAAAGCGAAACGAAAAGAAAGGGGCCGAGTCGTGTTCCGCTGTGCCGGTCTGACTGGGTCATGGCGAGACTGGGAAAAGTCCGCAGACCTTGCTGCGGGGGCATGTGAGCGTTGGGTATCAGGGTACCTACTGCAGAAATGTGGTGCCAGATGTTTTTCCGGGAAAGCCTGGCTTCTCGGGCTGAAAGCAAACGATTTTGGAGTTTGCATGCTTAGCTGTTTTGGATTCTGTTGGTTGACAGCTAGGCTCTTTTCATTTGATTGTACTCAAACAAGGCCCCCCTTTGTGGTTTTGGATGGTTGTTCATAGGGAGACAACGGTTCTTTTGCAAGGCCCCGGAATTTCGATTCACGGGGCAATGCGTCGAATGACGGGGTTCCCTTTCATTCGCATTCAAACGCTGACACAGGAAAGAGGGGTTGTTCACTGAGGGGGTGATCCTTCTCACCTCATCATCTTTCTTTTGAGGCATGGAAGTTCATTCAACCAGCATCATACACGTGTATATATATATATGCACGGGTAACTGTATGTGTATAGCTCTGCAAGTGTATGAGTGTATATATATATACACTTACCTTCATTGGCAAGAAGGGTCACAATACGGTCGTGCAGAGCAAGACAGTTTATTTTTGGCTTGGGTGTACTGGGACTTGACGTGGTGGTACCCTCCGATTTCGCGACAGCCACCAGGTGCCAGGTAGTCCGTTTTTCATTCCGGGGAAGTCTCAATTCGTTTTTGGCACGGTTGCTTTCAAGCTTCTTGAGATTTCGTGGTTGTGATCTAGAAGCCCAGGCTTTCCACGGCATCGCCGGGTGAGCTTTGCTTGTCCGCTTTGGTGGTTGGAACTCATTCCTTCAGCGTAGAAACCCTCAAAACATGACCCCACCATTTCCCATGCCAGGACCCAACAAATCTGTACTGGCAAGCACCTAAGACGGAACCTGACAGGCTGTTGGCAGATCATGTTCCTCAAGGAACCTGACCGGGGTACTGGTTTCGACCCGCAAAAAAGGGCGGATGTCAACTTGTGGTTTCGCTCAGCTGGAAACGGGCACCCTCCTCTTTCCACCTCGGATCTCGGATGTTCAGCGAGGCTTTGCTACGACGACCCCAAGTGCATCGGCGCCTTCGCGTTTGCCGGGTGCCCAAAGGGTTCAAAAGAAGCCGCCCCTTTCGACCCAAATCGGGCTTTTGATTCCCTCAGCAGCCTCAAGGCTCACCAAGGCCTTCTTTCCAGCAAGCCTAAAGAGGGGGATCCCTGTATGGTCTCATTGCTGAATATTGGAAGTGCACCAATTGCGGATCATGTGTTTTTTCTTCTTCTTTTTTTTCTTCTTCACTTGGAACGTTTAAGGAATCACCAGTATGTCTGAGGCCCAGTGCCATTCTTGGACTCAAGTGATGGAATGCCTCTCATGGACATTGTCTACCAGGGGGTCCGACAGCGTCCACCCCTGAAAGAGCTCATGATGGAATTACTCTTGTGAACCGTCCCTGGTATTTTGTTCATAGAGGGGATCTCTCCAAGACTCTTTCCTGATTTCCTACTGAGGATCAAATGACGAGGTTCCCCAGGCTTCATCAAGGTCTCCATGGACTTGCCAGCTGAAAGGAGTTCCTTCAGACATACCGTCCCTTTCAAGAGGAAGATGGTCTCCTGATATGTTATTGGGAGGAAGGATAGCACATCCAGTTTCTTATGCATGGCAGAAACAATGTATCCATGCATCAAGCACAGGCAAAAACCATCTTGCACTCTCTGGAGCTACGGCTTTGTCGACGATTAAGCGGTGTGCACCCCAGAGATGGATGAAGGTGGTGTCCAAACGTCATGAAAGCGCCGGGGGGGGGGGGGGGGTATTGTTGTGAGATTTGCCTAGAGATTTGGCGAAAAAGAAAAAACTCGACAAAAGCCCGGGCCAGAGTCCCCACCCATTTCCCCAGAGGAGTTGCTGATCAGGCGCAACTCCCAAGCAAAACCCCTGTACCGTCTTGTTTAGGTCTTTCGGCAGGAAGGGGCAAGGGGGGGGCGTTGGGGTTCTTGGAGAGGGTTGCAACTGGTCACAATACCTGAGCCGCCGAAGAGTGGAAGGTTTGTGACCTGACCCATGGGATTGTTTCCTTTCTTGCGGGTTCGTTTTGTCTTGTGTCAGGTTGGTTCATCCATGGAACTCTGCAACCTCCCTTCTTTCCCCCGAGCCTCCTCCCGGCCGAAGCCGGACTTTGGCCCATTTAGGTTTGGGGCTGGAAATGGGAGAAGACGGGCACCTGGTACGGGCTCTTCAACGAGTGGACGGCCGTCACGGAGAACATCACCCTGAACTGCACCATCTGCGAGTCCGAGGCGGACCCGCCCCCCCCCATTCCGCGAGGGGAGCGGCTAGCTGCGGGGTTGGTTTGGTGAGTCCCGTAGAATGAGTTCGACCGAGCCCCTTTTCGGGGGTTGGGTTAGGACACATGACGTCGACCATTTGGAGTCCGAAGGTCTTGGAGATATTTCCGGTTGACTACTTTCTACCATGCTTAAGTCTCCCCCAGGTGATCGGTTGAAGTGAACGACGGCTTTTGGGCTTTGACATGAGAGCTGCAGCAACTTTCCGCCTTAACAAGGTAGTCTGCCTATGAAAGCGGCGTACATCCATCGCCATTTACGGTCGAGGGGTATGGCCAGTCACTGAATCGTTGGACACCTCTAAAGGTTTAGCAAATCGAGGTTGGCTGTTTCACGTTAATGGCGTATGCCCTTACAGGTTTGCTCCGAACCTCGAAGCCAATGACACCGCAAGGGTCGAAAACTGAATTTGACCAACTACCTTGGGTTTTGAAGGCAACCCTTGCCCGCAGGGCTCAGGCCAACCCGGTGATAAGGGAGACGGGAAGTAGTCCGATGGACACATGTTGCTGGGACTGGCTGAGCCCAGCAACTTGGGTATTTTCTGAAGCATTTCAGGGGAGGTGTCTCCTTCCGACGCGACCCGGCGAGTCGGCGACGGGTCGGCCGAAGGTGCTGGGTGCCCTACAGAAGTGCTGGACCGGCCAGGAGCGGAGCCGTCACTTCGCCCGCCGGTTTGGAAACCCGTCGGGGACTGCAGGTCGCATGTTGGCGTTCTTTTGGGAGTGCGTGTTTTTGGGGTACTCCCAAAACGGTCTCTTTAAAACCGCACAACATAGGGTACCCTGAAAAAAGACAGACCCTTTTGGCTTCCTGCAAGAAAATATAGAAGCAACAAAACACACAAGCGAACATCCGGCGTCTTGGTGTTCTGCCTCGCCACAAAGGGTGAATTGAGGGCAGGTTGCTTTCGGATGATACTCATTCCACAAAGGCCCAAAAGGCGCAGTTCAAGTAGCGGCAATCACTTGGCATGCGACAATGGCATTCTGGACAGCATGCATGCAATCAGTTCGTCTCACCTGCGAGCGTGGGACTTGTTCTAGGGATTGGCAGTCTGCTGCACGGGCTTGCCTTTCCAGCTGGCAAGAAGTTTGGGGTGTGTCCCCCATGTTTTTTTGGTTCTCCTTGTTTTGTGCGCCTTATTTGAACAAGAACAAACAGATACCTACCAACAAGGTCTCTCTCTCTCTCTCTCGCTGTCTCTCTCTCTTTCTCTCTGTCTGTCTCCTTTTTGAGTTGTCGCAGGACAAAGAAACCAAGGCCCCGAGCTTGCACTCCATCTCCATGGCCGGCGAGCCCTTGGAGGGCCAGCACTTCTCCGTGGATCAGACCGCGGTCACGCTGGACCGATCTTTCGTTCGGGAGGGAACGCCTCCGTCACATGCCCCGAAAAAGGGGGGTGTTGTGAGGATCAACAAGAGATCCCCTACTTTTAGAAGATGTCTGGGCATGGCCTTTGTGCTTTCGGGGGGTCGTTTCTTTCAGGTGCTTCCAACACGCGTTCGAATAGAAAGATCTTCACTTCGGCGCTGCGGCGCCGACATTTCGGAAAGGGTGAGGTGGCAACCGCCAAGTGCGGAGCTCGTTTGGAGCCATGTTGGATTAGACCCCTCGGAAAAGGCAATTAACTGACTTTGTTCTCTGTGTTCATTGTGGGCGAGGCAGCTGTTCGATACGGCCTTGTTCCGAATGTTGAGGCGGGCATGTGTCAAAGCTAGGGATCCTTAGCTGTATTTCATTTGGAGGGAAACTGATGTGCGTTGTGAGTGGACTCGCGGGCGTGATGGGTTTGACAATTTACACCTGCCTTGTTTGCCCTTTGCCGCCCCTCTGCCACATCACAAGTGCCACGGTTTTGGTCATGGCTATGCCTTGGGCATGTAATTGTTTGGAGTTGGGCCACCCTTTCCCGGGCCTTCCCAGGAAGGCCAAAGACCTCATCCATTTCGGGGGCTCCTCCCATGTGATGGGCCGAGCTTGCCCCCGACTTCGCAGGCGGTGAACGCCAGCACGACTCAGGGGACCGCTCTGAGCGCAGTTTGGGTGGCAGCTCGGCCGGCTTGGGCAGTCTCCGGCAAGCACTCACGCCTGACATGCCCTCCCTCCCTACTGACATGACATCTCCCGGGGATGGGCTGGAAGGCTGCTTTTTTTGAGGGGATGCCCCTGGTTTCAATGATTGTTGGAAAGAGGGTACTACCTAGTAGACCTGGTAGATCCAGCAGTTGCAGTGTGGACTACGTTGTGGCAGCTATGCTGGTGGTGACAGTGGGCTACTTGGACAAGCAGGACATGGGAGGTTCATCCTGCATTGTTTGTTTTTCCCCCATTTTTATGTCAGGTAACCCTTAATTGGTGGTTTAGATAGGTGGTTTGGGGAATTGAATGGTTCCCTGGTTGTAGAGGGCAAATCGGAAACTACCCACTAACCCACCAACTACAGGGAGACTGATTACATGTATATATAGAGAATATGTTTTAACATGGTGCTGAATGGGAGGTTCACCTTGGATTTTTTCTCCTCTTTAGGGAGGGGGGCATCTCCTTTGGCTCCACGTGCGCTCGGTGAGGTCACGGAGGAGGTGGTCTCCATGGCTGTAGGCGGCGCCTACGAGGCCACCAACCCTCTGCTGCCCGATCTGCGCCTCGGACATTTTGCCCGGGATGGATCCAGAATTGTCGTGGCGATTTTGCGGGTCTGGTCAAGTTGTCAGGTATTCATTTGATCCAAGGGTTGTGAGGAATGTCGTACTGGCCGCTCCTCCCAGGCCCCAGCCATGCCCCTTGGGGTCTCAGGACCACCAAACCCGCCCTTCCTGTGGGGTTCTTGGCTACTGCTCGCCCCATCTGCAGAACGTGAACACATGTGGCGGGTCCCCAATTCGGAATACCCGACCTGTTAGCAACCCAAAAGTTCAAGTCAGATCCCTCGCCAAATAACCATCAAGTGTCAAGTGGCATGATCTCGCTGCCAGCTTCTCCCAGGTGCGCCATCTCTCAATTTGAATCCATAATTTGAATCCATGCAGTGGCCCCTTTGATTGACGGATGTCAATGGATTGGACAAGTTCTGCGTGATGTCCTTTCAACATAAACCAACGAGGGGCCCCTGTCCAGTCATGGCAATCTGATGTGATCAGCTTCCTTTCCGCTTTGTTGGTTGCCCGGGATTGACAGGCTTTGTTCTTCACGCACCAACGCGCGCCGCTTGCTTCCATGCATGTCTTGGAATTTTGCAGGCCCCTTCAGGAGTTTGGCGTGGTCAACCCATCCTTGTACTTGTGCTAGGTAGGTATAGTCGTGGACCCTGGAGATTTTAGACAACCATCATAAGGGTTTCGAGCAATGGGGCCCTTCCCATGCCCCGCTAAACCCCCCCAAACCCCCCCAAACCCCCCCAACCCCCCCAAACCCCACCAAACCCCACCAAACCCCACCTAAGGACTTTGACTGTAGCACATGTGCGAATGGACTGTGAGGTTCGAAAATGGCCCGGACAACACCAGTGGCATGGGCCTCTCCGTGCAGCTGAACACCACGTCGCTGAAGATGGGCGCCTCACTCGGCAGGGTGGTGGAATCAAGGGGTTTATTCCCACTTCTGTGATACAAGGGAATCTCCCCCTGTATATGGGGTGTTAGTCTTTGGGAATCCCTTTTTGTTGCATCACAGAAGTGGATTCCATTTCCCACCACCCTGCTCAGCATCTGGCGCATTTGTGGTTGAAACCACCAGGGCACATTGCCGACGCTGGTCGCTTGCAGGATCTTTTTGCTCAACTGGTCCAGATTGCTGCAGTGAGTCTCAAAAGCAGGACACCAGCCTAAGTCTTCAAGTAGAGAACACCAGAGAATCTTTTTTGGTACTCACTCAGGCTCTGCTGGTATCTCCAAAAGCGCTTTAAGGCTCTTGAAGGCTCTCCAGAGCCCATGTTCCACCATTGAATCAGGAGGCCAGCAACACTGTAACATTGGTGCAATAATGGCCAGCATTGGGGGGGTGCAGCATACACACATACACACATATATATATATATATATATACATGTATACATATATGCAATGCGGTATACAAGGGGTATCTACTTGGTAATCTAGCGGCACACGTAGGTGGCGGAATTCTTACCCTTAAGAAAAGGGGCTCCCAAGTTTTGTCTCGGAGCCTTGGCAGTTCCATCCAGGTGGCGAATATCGCCTCTACGTCTTTGTGCGTGAGGATCCGGCTGCCTGCGGCGCATCTCGGCTCTGGCTCCGATGATGATCCGCAAGCTCAAGTGGCAGGGATTCATTTTCTCCCTTGAGCAAACGGACACTGGAATTGAGGACCCTGAAGTTTGCCCCCGCGGTCTGGAGTCCAGACGTGTCACAAAGCTGTTCTCACCTTCCCTTGGCCAGATCGGTGCAACCAGCAGGTTCAGACCAAGCCCCAGTTCCCCCGAGTTGCCATTTTGCGTTCAGTCGTCTCGACCTCGCCAGTCAACGGGAGGTTGAAGCCTTGGGATCGCCTAAGTTGTGTCGAGCTGGGAAGAGCTTTGTAGGGACCCGGCCGGAGATGACACACTGACACACACACACACACACATATATATATATATATGTATGTACACATAGTGGACCCTATGGTTCTTGAACAAAGCTAGGTTTGTTTCAGGTAACCCCATTCGTGGGGGTTGCAACCAAAAACTGCAGGGTGTTCAATTTGTTCCTAATCCATTGTAGGTCGCCGTAGGCCAAGAGATCTGAGGCCACCGACCCTCCCAAAGTGGGTACAGAGAAGCCTTGCCCAAGTCTGAAATTGATAATGTTGATTGTGCTATGTCCCCCACCCACCCCCCCAGGCACCTTCCACACTGAGACCCGCAATTGCTGTTGGCAGAAAACTAGGCGTCTGCGCGGAAAGGAAATGGTGAAGAGCAGCTTTAAAGAGTCCTTGGAAGATTCCTGAAACTTTGAACAGGGAACCGAATGTAGTCTTACAGGAGCACTTTTGTGGAAGCAATTTGGGAATTCGCTTCCCATTATTCAGGATCAGGGTTTCTGGAGGTGTAGGGTGGGGGGTTGTATCAGCATCCACTCTGACTGCGTGCGTTGAGAAGTTCTTGGCTTTCGTTTTGGGGGAATGTTAACGTCTTCTTTCACTGCGCGCAGCAATTGACCAACTATTCACTTTGGAACGGGGTGGGGGTGGGGTGGAGTTGACCCAGTGGTAGTGTTAGCGCCCACTCCCACTGCATGCAGTCTTGAGAATTTGTTGACTTCATTCACTGCGAGCAGCATGTGAAAATGTTGACCTTGGGGATCCTTGGGGATCCTTGGGGATCCTTGCGGATCCTTGGAGATCCTTGGGGATCCTTGGGGATCCTTGGGGATCCTTGAGGATCCTTGGGGATCCTTGGGGATCCTTGGGGATCCTTGGGGATCCTTGGGGATCCTTGAAAATCCTTGAGCATCCTTCGCGACGATCCTTGGGGATGATAATGTCAACGACCACTCTGGCTTCGTGCAGCATTGAGAAGTTGTTGGCTTTATGTTCGGTAAGTACAGGGCCATTTGTGGTAAGTCTAATGACATTCAACCGCTGGGGTCAGCGATGAAGAAGTGTGCCCGCTGGAAAGGTTTGCTTCTGGATCGTGCTTCGCAAGGTCTAGCCCTCTGCCATGACGATTCAAAGCACTTTGACCCATGACAACTCGAGGTTCAATGGAACAAACACTGGTTTTTCTTGGAATGTCAGGGTGCTTATATCACTGTTTGGGTTGATTGAAGGTTACCTGTTGGGCCGGGGTTTGGCATTTTCTTGTTGGGGTGATGTTCCAAGGGGACATGGTAAGGAACTTGGCTCGGCTGTAGCCAAGGCGCGATGCAACAACCACGAAGCCTACGCCTCTGTAGCCTTCAAGATTTGCGACTCGAGCCGCGAAATGGGTAGGCCTTGCCGGCCTTCCACATGCGTTACAAGGGCAGGTGGGCAGCTTGTAGCGATTCTCAGCCACTTCCACTGGCTTCCCTGACGGCTCTCAAATAGTGTGTTGGAGTTGGCATCTGTTTTGTTCCTTCCTGTCTTCAAATCTCGTGTCTTCTGGAAAACCATGAAATATGCCTCCGGGAGACTTCCCGGAATCCCCAAACTTCCCAGAATGTTCCAGGAAGCTTGTCAAGTGCAATCCTTGAACGAGAAAGCAACCTTAAGGACTCCTTTCTGATGTTTCGGATGGCTTTCCTTAGGGTGCTTTGGAGCAACTTGCGGCCGTGTCCCTGCAGAGCAACCAAAGTCAGGATCATGGTTGCTTGTCTTGCCCTGCTTTTCGTTCCTTCGCCTTTTTTACAAATCGCCGTGTGCCCCTTATGCTCCTTTGCGCTGGGTTTTCTTTGCGCGTCTTTCCAACATGAATCTGTTTGGGAGTCGCAACAGCTTGGTGTCCTGTGTATACTTGGGGGTCCTCCGAAGAGAGTTCGCGGCCTCGCCCACCACGTCATGCTTTTTGTTCACGTTAGCGCGAAGCATGTCGGTTCGCCCAGCTTAATCGAATGCCAGCTGCTTCTGCTTGGCCCATACGGCCTAGGCCACGACGCGGTGCCAGGAGAGCAATGCTACAGCCAGGCATGGTTGGGTGACTTACGGGAAGGGGATTGTCTGTTTCAAAGCATCTTGGTGGGTGTCTTGATTTTGGGGATACCCCTTTTGGGTGTGAGATGCACGGCATTTTTCGGCGTTTGAGGTGTACAACGGAACCAAAAACCAACACTACTACACAAACCCTGCTTGTTGCGGCCAGAAGCTGATAAGATACGTAAGATATCAATTTCTGAGCCCTCTCGGGAGAGACCTTAAACAGTGAAGAAAGGCTTCCAGAACCCTTCTATGCGCCGAGTCGGCCAGCCGATCGAAAAGGGGGCCCCGCTCCTCCGCTGACCCTTGAACAGGGGAGCAGGCTGCGCGGCGTGTTCACTGGCAAAATGGGGTTGCCCCTTATTCTTTGGATAGGTTCCTTATGGAAGCGAAGGAATCCAACCCTGGCATGCCTCATTTCAGGTTTGTGATCATTCACCGGCACGCAGGTGAAGTACGCCATGGACCATGACCTGGCGGCAAACCCTGGCAGGCATCGTGGCCACAACTTAGTTGGAACAAACATTTCAGCATGGTTAATAATCCAGAAGTGAAGCAACAAGGCAGTTCAGGTTAACTTCACCCTTGTCAGATTTGCCTACTGAAGTGCTGGATCATGCTGCACCAAACGCTGATGATCCTTGGTTGTGAAGGGACTCCCTTAACAGGACCCACCTCCCTCAATCCCAATAGCAGGGCCTCAAGTCCGACGGTGTCTGTAACAGGCTCCCGCTTTGGGGCCCGGAAAATCGGGAATCACCACTGAAGGGGCCCGCCCCGACTGCCGTTACACAATTCAGATTGCGAACGTGGTCTCACGAAGCTGGTAGGTCCTGAGGCCGTTTTTAGGCTTGAGCACATGGTTGATGACCTCAACGACACAATCCGAGTTTATATTGAACCGCCCAGCTAGAGGACCCGAATGTTTGTACTTATTGCGAATACCCACGACGAATCATGATGAGCCAGGGTTGGGGTTTTGCTACTTGGTTTTGTGGTGGGGTTGGCAAAAGCTCAAGTCGATGGCTTTTGGGCACTGCTCAATGGGCCAGCTCTGATGACAGCCCTGGATGCCGCTTTCCCGTCAAACAGACCACTTTCCCTGGCAAGCCCTTTTGAGCTTGTTTGCGCACTCGGTTGGGCTGATCTCACCAAGTTGGTAGTCTTTTGCCTCCAAAGTTCGTCGGTTTGATTTTGATTCGAAGTGCCCAAAAATATAGGGTCTGTCTCGCTTTTGTTCAAACGTGGACTATTTGCCGTGCATGCCCTGGGTCTTGCAACCCCGCAAGTTGTGACTTACCCCCAGGAACATGGCAGCGATGGTGGGTTGGTCTTTCAAGGGTTGCTATGTTTGTAGGGAGGGTACCAGGAGATCCCCGTCGGCATGCCATGGGATTTCTTTCAGCGCAGGTATCCAGGCGCTGACACCACCTCCAGCTTCTCCGAGGCGTTTATTTTTCCCCGGATGGTTTTCGCGCGGTATTCAACTGAAGAAGGGGGTAAAACTAGGAAAGGTCCTTCACTGGGGGACAAACTCTTAATTCAGGTTTTGGTCCAGGTCTTGGACATATTGTAAGATGTTTGCAGGTGCTGTTTGAGTGGCTCTCATTCAGCAGCTATTGTGTTCGTTGGAACCCAGCTGTTTCCACAAAACAGCTGCGCCATTATTCTCGTGTCCAGGTGGGAGGGAACGTCCACTTCAGAGGAATGCGCCGTCCTTTTGTTGCTTGCTTCCAGGGGTTTGTACTTTGAGCGGAGGATGCATCAATCTTAAAAGGTAAGCCCCGGTTCCAGATCCTTGCTTAGCGGGGCCACCTCTCAAATGAACCACTGCCTTGTCAGCACAAGAGGAAGCTTTTCTTGGTGTGGCCGATGGTTCTGCATCTTGCCAACAAGCAACCATGGCAGAACCGATAGATAAAATATCGCCTGCTTCAAGATCTTCGCAACACGTCCATAGCTTCTATTTCCAACACCTTTATCTAGTCACGGCCAATATCTAGCTATATGTCCCATTCATTTCCGTCAGGAGAGATGTATAAATGGGCACTCTCAATGTCTCTCTCCCTCTCTCTCCACGTAGTTCTTTTCTTTCTCAACATCTCTGCATGATTACATATTATATATGGTATATACCTACATACACAAGGCACAGCATGTACAAAGACCACAAGCACCAAGGCACACATTGATCGTTCCGTGTCCTGCCTCCCACCCGAGCGGCCGGCCGAGCGGCAGGTGCAGATGGTTTTGGCCCAGCTGCAGCTGAGCGGGTGCCAGTTCCCCTGCGATGTGTCGCGATGGTGTCACACCACTCAGCCCGGGGAGGCTGGGGACGGGAGGTGAGCTGGGAGGCTGAAAAGGTGCGAGAACACGAGACAATGGGTCTGCTTTTGTTTGAGGGTATCCCTTTTTGTTGGTGGTTTTAAAGGAACACTTCGGAATCGACCCGACCATTCCTTGTTTCAGGTGTTGGAATGATTGTAAGAACATGCAGATGGGGGGCGTATTTCTGGACTTGGGGATTGGGACCAGGATCGCCAGATTTTGCTCCTGAGGGGTGACATGTTTTTCTGTTGGGATTGGGGTCGAGACGTGTGTCGTCTTGGGTTTTGGGATAGCTCTCGTTGTCGGTGCCCTTGACAGTCGGTCGGGGTCAGTAAGAACCACTTCTTTCCATTGGTTGCAATCAGTCTTGAGTTAGTGAATCAGCAGCCCTTAGGTTTCACTCGTCCACCGCCCTGGGCCGACTCCAGTGGTTTGTGCGATCCATTCTCAGGCCTGCTACGAGTATATGGAGTGGCTGCTCGAGGGCAACAACACCCAAGATGCGCCGCAGGTCCGGAGGTCGGTCGTGTTTGGACAGCGCTTCATTTTTAGAAGTGGTTGGCCCAACAGGCTGAATGTGCATGTACCCTCAGATGCGGCTGCCCCGTGTTGGCAAGGCGGCCGGCTCCCAAACAGAGTGTTTCAAGGCGACTTGCATTATTCTGGCCTTTGAGCTTCCGCCCACCTGACAGTTTGGACGGTGCTTTCATCTCATCACCTCCAACCACCAACCGGACAGTGCTTCGCAACCGGAAATGGCGCCTTGAAAAGGTAGTTTTGTTCATAGGGGTGGGATTTCCTAGGGCGGCCTTAGTGTTCCTTGGGGAAGCCGCGAGGGGCTGCCCCATAACCGCAGACCCCCCCGCCCCTACTTACCAAGCTTGGTTTACTTTACCACTTGGAACATACCATGTCACCCAGGTTGTGACTAGGATTTCTGGGACAATATGAGGGGCTTGAGAGTTACTCACATGCTTTTTGTTTGTGATCATAACGGTTTTCCAACAACTCCACTGCCCTTCATCAAAGTCCATGATTTCCCCTTTGAATCAACCTCCCTGATAAACGTTTCCTTTGGGAAAACAACCAACGCCCCCCCCCAAAAACGCCTTCGAATCCACCTCCCTGATACTTTTCTTTGGACTAAAGCCCAAACAACGCGGCCCTTGTCGCCGTTCTAACCCCTTCGGTGGACGCGGGGCCGGCGAACGAACGGATCTTCAGGCGCTGCGCTGGGCCAAGAGCCTCAGCCGGCTGAACACCCAGCGGGCCATCCACGAGAACTTGCCCGGGACCGGCCGCCGAGGGATTTTTTCGGTGGGCAGCCGAGGGATTTTCGGGGAAGCAGGGGGCGTTGTCGAAGCGAGACGCTTTTTCGGGGGAGCGGGGCGCTTGCCTCCCAAAATGGGGGCTGAACTTTCCCAGCCGATTTGTTTCTCGCTTTGGAAGCAAGAGTGGCGATCGTTGTAGTGGGAAATGAGGAGATTGATCAACTCTTGCAGGGGAAAATCCAGTGAGAGGAAGTAGGGAAGTTTTGGCAGTTCTTGGGTGCAGCCACTTGTCCACAGGGAAAGCTCGGATTTCAGGCTTGTGGCCCGGCGCCCTTTGAGGGAAGCCAAGGAATCCAAGTATTCTGTTCCGTAGGTGCACTTTCTGGCTTTGGTTGTTTCAACAGAAGGATTCCACTGGCTTCAGTTTGGTGTCAATTGTTTAGTCCAACGGAAACAAAACAACTTGGAATGTGATTTTCTTGATGTGGGTGTGTGTGGGCACCCCTTGGTTGGTTGGTTTTACAGGGACAGGGACACCAAAAAGAACACTGCTATTTGGGGGGTCCCTTAGATGGTTCATGGGGGTATGCCCCTCCCAAAAGGTCGGAGGGCTTTTGGGGGTGATTTCCATTGAGCTGGGTTCAACAGGTTTGATTCAAGCAACAACAACAAAAAACAGAAACAACAACACACGTCAGAAAGTTGGTGGGCTTTTGGGCTGGTGTGTTGCTTGGTGCGTTAGGATCTGCCCGCGGCCCTGCTTGGTGGACGTGCAGCAGTGCTTCCCCAACTGCGTGGACGAGGGCGAGGGAGGCGCAATGGGCCCAAGTCAAAATGTGGCCGTGGGTACCCAAAATGGAACCCTAGTAAGCGGAAACACGGACCAAACCTGCGGTCCTTTGGTGGTTTAATTTTGACCCGAGTGAGTTGTTTTTTGCTGTGGCGGCTTCAGGGAGGCTGCGGGTGAATGCTGCGGCCGAACTGGGGTAGTTGAGCTGATTGCCTTGGCGGGTTACCAGATTGAAAATTGCTAGGCCATCTCTCGGTGGACCTCTAATCCTTTGTGTCTCTGGGACTTTCTTATCTCTCAATTCCCATCTTTTTAATACCTGCAATGAAAGGGACAGTGGATATGAGACAGAAAGAGAACCAGCCAGCCGCTCGCAACCACGGCTGGGAAGAAGGGACTGGAGAATTGACGAAAGACAATGGTGGCCAATCCTCACCCAAATGCCTTTGTTAGTGGCAGTTGGGTGGGTATGTTAACCAATGCATACGTCTCATTGGATTTGCAGCATGTGTACATGTGCGCCATGTTTTGCAGTCCTTTGCATACCTCGCCAAGCGGATTTTGCCTGTGACTGCCAGGCCCAGGGAAGTCCAATCCGGCATGACTGAGCAGGGCCCAGTCCAGAAATCTGTTGGAGCCAACAAACAGCTAGACCAGATTCCTGTTGCCGGGCTTTTAGTCAGGTCAAGACCTCAAGAACTTATTCAAGTCACAAACTTACCCAGGTCGACCAGCACGACAATTCCAAGCCACCCATCCCTTGTTTTGAACCCTTGGCGACCCTTTTTCCTTCGGATCCGAGTCAGGCGGCGGCACTTCCGAGCTCTCCAAGGCGGCTTCTGCAACGGCGCTGGGGCTGCTGGCCGGCCTCACGTGGCTGGTCTGAGGCTCTCGTCGACCTTTTGTGACTTGCGGCTCGGTGGTTCAAAGCGCCGGATCGGTCTTTTGCGCGCCAAGGGCGCCTGATCCAATCACCGGCCCAGTCGCGCCGGACAGGCCTTGTGGCCGGCCGGCCGGCCCTGGCCACGCCCGTGGAACTCGAATTCGTTTTTCTGGCCCGAAGATGGGGCACATCGGCACAACGCCTTTGCATGCATAGTCGTGGCCACATGGCTGTGGCTCAAAATCAGGAATGGATCTGGCAGGTGTCCCAAGTATATATGAGGGACCTTTGAAGCAAAGCCATCCGGGTCCCTTATTTTGAGCCACACCTAGGCTCTGCAGGACGAAAGCCGCCGCCCCTTTGCGGGGGCAGTCTGCAGAGGGAGCCGTTCGCTGGTTGGAGCTGAAGCCGCAAGCAGCGCCCCGGAGATTCGGGATCCGCGCTCTAAGGGGAAAGCCGCAGAGGGTTGACTTCCTTGGTTTCCATTTGAAGCCCAAAAAGGACGCCCTCAACCAACCCACATTGCTTCCTCACTTCCCTGAGCCAACACCTTTAAGAGCCGGCAACTTGGTCGAAGGCAGCTTTGGGCCAGATGCCAATAGCCTTTCCAATGTCTCAGTCATGGAGTGGAGGCTTGGTTATGGGGAGGTCTTTTGCTGACTCTCCGGGAGGCTGACTGTTGGCTCTCAGGAATTCACGCATCGCTTAGCGCAGACAAAGCTGCGAGTTCCACCGGAGAGTTGCGGAAGGGCGAAAAGGATGTTAGGGGCTGTTGGCCGGCCACTTTCTGTGAATGGTCGATGGGCAATGCCCCTCGAAAGTGATGAAGTAGTTTAAGTCCCCATGTCGGAGGCAGATCCGTAGGCATTGTTGGTTGGACATCTAACCACGTCATTACTTTGAAAGCCTGTGTTCCAAGCCTTGGGGCCGGGGCGGGGGTTGAGTGTGGACAATTCGACCGAGGTACTGCAGAGTTATAACTGCATTGATACATCCCTGGGTCCCTGGTTGATACATCTACACCCTCCGTACTTGATGTGACCCGGCAGAAGGGCTCCAAGGGCACACCCTCTCAAGTTCCTGCGATCAAGCGGAGCCGGCTCCGGTTTGGCTTCGTCCCACCAGAAAGCCCTGTTTTTGGCGAGCCCTTTTTTTTGCTCAAAGGATCAGTCTTGGGGACAGATCCCCTATTTCAGCATGGGGATGTTTTTTACCGCTCGACGGGCGTTTCGCGCGCGTCCGCAAGCGACGCGGCAAGCGCCAGGGTTCTGCTGTGCTTTGGCGGCTTCGGGCTGTACACCGCTAAGGCTGAGGCGCTTTCCTGGGTCGTGAGCTTGTGTTGGTTGAGGGTACCTCGTTTTCAGGTTGGCTCTTAAAGGGAAGCCAGAAGTCATGCCGTGTTTTTCTTGGGGGAGTTCTCCGAATTTGACATACTTTAGAGCCTCCGGCTCAGTCCGCCGACATTGTCCTCTCCCTTTTCTCCTTCCTTTCTCCCTTGTCTCCCTTTTCTCCTTCCTTTCTCCCTTGTCTCCCTTGTGTGTTCTGTCGACCTCTCTCCCTCCCTCTGCTCCGCATCCTTCCATCCCCCCAAGCCTCTCTCTCCCCAATCTCCCTCGCTCGTATGTATGTATGCATGAATGTAATGTAGTGTAATGTAATGTAATGTAATGTACTGGAATGTAATGTAATGTATGTATGTATGTATGTGTGTGTATGTGTGTGTATGTGTGTATGTATGTAATGTATGTAATGTATGTATGTAGGTATGTATGTATGCAATGTAGTGTAATGTACTGTACTGTACTGTACTGTACTGTACTGTACTGTAATGTACTGTACTGTAATGTAATGTAATGTAATGTAATGTAATGTAATGTATGTATGTATGTAATGTATGTAATGTATGTATGTATGCATGTAATGTATGTATGTATGTATGTAT